GTACGAAACTTTTTCTACTTACAGTTGTAATAGGACTTTTCCATATTATAGAAACTTCGCGGGTACTTTAATTTTCGCGTTCCCATATTCTTGGTTTGCATCTATACCTACAAGTTGAAACATTTTCTACTACGTAAATAACGATTATTAACTATACAGCTCATCTACCTAACCAGTAACAAAAATAAAAAGCACGTCGAAATAGCACTGATTCTTAAAACCCATCTTTTAAAGAAACTACTTAAGATAATAGGTAGGTAGCTAACTAAGTACTTCCATAATCTCTATGTTAACGTTTGATAATCGAAATTGTAAATGTATGGTGAAGGTTCTTAAGTCGTCGAGATACAATTCCGAACCGTTTGTTTAGGCAGGACGCGGTTTGACGTAAGGAGTTCACAACTAAATTGTCGATGTTATCTACCCGCTCTAACTTAGGCACGGCACGAAAAATATTGCTAAGAAACCACTTAATGTCACAGCACAATAATGAACTCCCCGTTAAATATGTCGAAATAGATTTAATTACCGATGTTTACGTTTTCATTTTATCATAATAACATTTCACACAAAAAAATAAGAGTTAAAGATGTAGTACGGCGCGGTACTGCAAAACGCTATATGGCTGACTAAGATCTATTATATTAAAAGTACATACCCCTTAAGAGCGGCCGATGACTGAATTATGTACATTGAGTGACCATCTGAAAAAAATGGAACTAAAGACACCCACAAGAAGATATATAGAAAATCTAAAGGGGAACTAATATACAAACTTACGTCGGCATGAACTACACCAATTTTAAAATAAGTTATAACGCTACAAAACTTTCTGATCTATACATATTATAGTTTTTCCAACATGCGGGCGTTATATCTTAATTATACACAATTCGCAGTCTCATAAAAATAAGAACTGCGCTACCGATTTGCACGAGTGCTAACAAAAAGCGTCAGAGAGCGCGCGCTGACCTAATTCGGCCGCCGTAGCGCTCAGCTACCCAAGAAAAACTTAACCACCCTCGAAGACATAAATACTATATTCTAATCACTTTGTTCTACAGACAAGAGTATTCTTTATGTGAGGTGTGGGCGGGCTACTACTTCCGATTCACATGTATGTTTTTTTTACGACAGCTGGGCATTTTATTATAAAAATACAAGATAAAATCGTAAATTAAAAGAAAGACTAATCTTTTTACTGAATAGCGATGCAAATATTTTGAGTCTTAATTTTTCGTTGACGAATTTTTCAAATGGATAGATCCAATTATTGAAGGAAAAGTTATAAGAATCGCTTCGAAACAAATAAAGAAAGCACAATACTCAAGCAAATCGAGTCGTCCTATTTTTCCGTCGACAACGCTGGATCAACGTACGTCTTGGTAGATTAAACTTTGTCCATTAAAACTTCTTCCGCGAAATAGGCTGCGAATAGCTATTGATGAATATTTCACGTAGCGTAGAGCTTTATCAAATCTTTGTGTCTTTCAATAAGAAGCATTTAATGACTCGCCCATTACTTCACACCGCGCAACAATATAGGAAAGGGTTATTAATTATGCATAATATTATATTACTTGACTACCCTTATCAGTCAATTTCTTTTGTGACGTAAATCCTACTTTTAAGTAGATGGCAGTTTCTTTTATCTCTCGAGATTTCCTATGTACTCGCTGATTCATCAAACTTTGTATGTAGATTTTGGATTTAATTAAGTTTAAGCATGTTAAGGTCTTTGTTTGAAGATGCAATTTAAAAAATCCAGTATACAAATAATATTGTAGGTAGTATAATCTTTTAAATATAACGAAAAACAAACAAAATAAAATCTATAGTCGTATGTGTGAGTCGCTGTAGTCTATAGTTTATGCGAGTAGTAAACATTTCAATAAAACACTTTAACGATTTAAAACGGGATATATTAGTTAAACTTATTTGAAAATTATTTGACCACGGCTGTTGCAAAGCATCCGAAACGTCGGGCCGAAGTTAAAAATCATTTTCCAATATGTTTAACTAACATATCGCGTTTTAAACCGTTAAAAGTGTTTTATTTAAAAAATAAAACTTAATTTGAAAACCCAAAATGTAGCGAGAAGAGGCAGCCTTATCGCTAAAAAGTGATTTCTTCCAGGCAACCTTGAAGATGGAGATGTTTAATAATAAATGATAATAATAAGGGTAACACTACAGCTATAATAAGTGTATTCAACACTAAGTATGTTTTTAAAGTTTGACTTAATAATTAAAATAATCTACCTAATCAAATGTGTAAGCGAGTATCAACCATTGCCATTTAGACTTAGCAGCATGTTTTACAGAGAAAAATTAAAGTTACTAACTGTTAGAGTTATTAACTGTTAGAGTAGGCAGTAAAGAAAGTAAAGAATAACCCCGTATCTCACCGTGAGTCACCTATAACATTAGACCCGTATGAAAAATACTTAGATTGTATTATCTTATCGGATTACACAATGTCCAAGGGACGAGAATATCCAAAAATATCACGATTCCGCCCAATCATATAGATGATTCCCGAAGGGTTTACTTTACATTTTTTTCAGAGACATAATGGATTATGCCTACTTTGCTGACGTTCTGAGGCTGTTTGATAGAAATATTTAAAGTGTATTTGCAATTACTCGACCCGAGAGAGGGTAGGACGAGATAGAGTTTAGGCTTAATTAATTTCTGTCTTAAACAAATTTGAATGGACAATAATCTACCCTACATACTTAGAAATTTGTAAAATAATGATAAAAACAAAGAAATTTTTACGCATTTCTTAATATTGAGTTTTCGCGATAGATTAGTAAAACATTGGCATATTAATACAAAGCAAACTAATGTCGTTGCAGGGATCACGCCAGTTCTTTGCTAACAAATTAAATCTTAAGGAGTTCGATGCCAAGAGTCAGCGTCGACACCGCAACGAGCGAAGAGGGCCATAATTTTAATTAAGTTTCTCAAGAGAAAGTTCGTATCACCCGCTTTTCTAACTCGAGAACTAAGCGAGCCCGCTGAAAAATTGAACAGAATTACGGCCTTTAATTACCGACTCGAAGAAAAATGAAGATTTACGCTTTCGATGGAATTAACGTTGTTAAAAATTCAATTAGAAATAACGTTACGACCATTTCAGTCTTTAGGGAAATTGTACTGCAAGCAGAATAACCTATCTGCCACTTAACGTTACCCAGTCTTATGTGCCCAAGAACTTCTATAGCTAGAAAATTACAGCTAAACAATGTAAATGTACAACTCCCCTCAAGTGAGAAATCACGAATCGAATTCATTACCCTATGCATTTAGATTTTGCAAGTTCTGGAGAACGAAATAAGTTTAATCGCTGAAAGCGAGGTCAAACAGATCCCTATTGTTTCATACATCTTACGACCGGTAAAGTGGCTTTCAGGTATCGCTCGATTAACTTGACCCAAATCCCGAAGAACACTCTTACTCTATTGTTCGGATTAATAAAGTATTCGCTACCTGTTTTTGTCATTATATTATTCACCCAATTATCAGTGTCTGTAGCCAAATGGTTGAACGTATTCACTAGCATCGCGTTGAGCGCGAGAGGTCCTGGGTTCGAATCCCAGGGAAACAAAAAATAATTGTTTCGGTCGGGCAGGGCACAGAAGTCTGATCAACTACTTGCCTGTTAAAGAACGAATCAGTGAAACGGGCACATAAATGTGTTGTCCCCATGCCCCACTAGGGGGGATACAGGATTAAAACAAAAAAAATATCAGTGTCGGTACCTACAGTTTATACATTTCCTTAATAACACGTCAATATTAAATTAATTATAGAAGTTTGTACTTGCACCCACATCCCCACGAAACGAATTAGATACGATAAAGCAAAAATATTAACATATAAGAAATGAGGGTGGTCTCAATTTTGCAAAATCTATAAAAAACAAGTTGTCGCTTGTTTCAACAAGTCTCATATCGCGTAAAAACGGATTAACAGCTCGAACGAACTACGCTTCTCTGGTGCGGGTACGCGGACAATAATAAAAAATAAAATACTTTTAGTGGTATGTAGCTACATAAAAATCGAAATATTGCAGTCAAATTTTGTTAAAACAAAGGTAAAAATGACAAAATCGAATAAGAAAACACTAAAAAACCTAAGAACAAGATGTCTGCGCTTGCTCACCTACCTCAAATGCCTTTAGCTAAGAATCTTCTGTATCACAAATATGGAATACGGCGAAAACGTCACTATGCAATTTCAATAAAACATATGGCTAACTAGGTTCTATTCTCTAAGCACTTACCTCTGCTCGAGGGCCCGACGCCTGAAGGTGGTACACTGTTATAAATTTCACTTTGTAGTTGTCGTTAGTAACTGCGTCTATACTGGTTGCTAAACCTCGTTTTATACGCTTAGGCGTAAGAGTTGCAACCGACGCTCTAGTCAATAGAGCTACTTTTAGCGTCGGTAAAGCGACGCTTAAAATGACGATAATGGTACCTTTCCGCCAACTCCACATACACATTTGTTTTCTTATCAGTGTACATCTTCAATTTGATAACACGAATAAATCACTGTTTGATTTAAATATAGTTAAAAACAAGTAGTAAACTGATTTTACGAAACGAAATGATTATTTTTAAAGCAATAGACACTTCCTTAATATCGTAATCATATACAATGGACGTAAAATCGAGTACACAAAAAGCGTCGGACTTATAGGATTAAATAAATATCAGCCTTTATTACTAGTAATATTTATTTATTATCAATTAAATATAGTACAAAATTAGATCTACATTTTTACTTATATTTACAATTATTGACTTAAATTTTAAGACGCTCTAAGTGAAGTTCTAACAAAGGGGATACATTAGTCTTGTAATATATTCAAAGGACCGAACTAAGAGATCCTAAAATCTCTGAAAACTAACGAGGGATTTCATTTCATTGCGCCTCTGCCGTAAATTCATCTTTAAGTGGCGCCATCTTTAATAAATACATGAATGTTCTTAATCCGAGTTAATTTCTTCGGCGACCTGTTGCCATTTGGCGACCAGAGACGACACTGTCTTTTGCTTCATTCCAATTGAGCTGGAGATCTTCACCTGCAATATAAAATCATGACTTTGAATCTTCTCCATCATATGTTTATTTTAATCAGTTGTAAAAAAATACATCTAAGACATTTGTGAATGTTTTAAATGGAACTGCTCCCATTATTGATATTGAGTAAAAAGACCAAATAGTTGCAATTATGGCAGCGGAGTTCCCGTTAAATATCTATGTGATTTCGTTTTTACCACTCGAGTTATAGTATAAACACACAATTGGTGAAAATTTCAACTCTAGTTATCGCGGTTCTCGTGCTAAATGAAATACAGACTTTCAGCCGTCGATGTCTTAGTAATAGGGTTCCACTTTTACATTTAGGAACCGTGTCCATTCCGAAATTTTTCTTTACGCAATAAATACAGAAATAAAATTGAATCAGGAATTTGGATACTACTGTGCTCTCTATCTATTTGAGTCAAAACGTAGTAACTATTAGCAATCCGTAGACACATAATAACGAATAATACAATACCTTGCTCTTCTTTTTGGCCTTCTCTTTTTCACACGGCGTCTTAATAGATTTTTTCTCGCGCTCACTCCTATCATATCTATTTTCGTCTTCCCTCGGCCTGTCTTGCTTAACCGGTGCATCTCTATCTCTCTCCGACTTATCGTTTCTTTCCGGTGAATTGTTTAAGGAAGACGGATTGGAATGCTTCTCGAGTTCAGCCAGATCGCTGTAAAAGGATAAGAGTTCGTCGCCTATTTCCTTTTTCGGCTCCTGAAAATACGAAATAACAAGATTATATTGGCATACACGTTTGTTTTGCAGACAACAAGTACTACAAACAACATTTACTAATCGCTCATTTCACGCCTTCTATTTCAGAACTGGTTGTAAATATAAAGTGAGATTTAATAAAGGGGACCCCGTGACCACGGCCACTGAAAAGCATCCGTAACGTCGGGCCGTAGATAAAAATAATTCTCAACAAGTTTAACTAAAATTATATATTATCCAAATAATAATTCTGTCGCCGTCTATATTTTGTATGACACTAACCGGAGCATGAGGCGGCTGGGCATCAGTCCCCGGTGGCGGTGGGTCCTGCCAAGACGGCGGTGGAGTCGGCTGTGGCGGTGGCGTAACAGATGCGGTCGGCAAGAGTGCTTCATCCTGGAAAAATTAGTACAAATGTCAAGTCGGATACCTTGCGACAGAGAATTTGAAGGACTGAGATTTTTTAAGACTTTCGCTATAGGACGAGCTAATTAGAAAATGCACTGTTTTGTATAAATGTAATGGAAATTAGCATTTTTGTGCTAATGCTATTAGTTACTACGTTTACTTGTCATGTAAGAATTATAGATAAATTTAAATTTGCTATTTAACCTAAATACAAATTTTCTTTTGCTCCAACATCACAAGTCGCTCATCTGTCAATCTTTGCTCATTTTGTAAAGCTCTTTAGGTTTTCGAGATGTTACGAGACTAACAATATTCGAACAATTGACGACTGCAATAGAGCTATTATATAATAGAATGGTTCCTCACCTTGGGCGTTTCCGGCGGGGGCGTAGTACATATGTCCATGTCCGTACTCGCCACGGCGGGGTACTCCCACTGGACGAACCCGTCCGCCTCGCGCTTGTAGCAGTAGCGTCCCTCCGACCTGCGACACAAAAGCCTCAGTTGAAACGACCGCCTCGGCTCACTATAGCTTTGCGCCCGGTGACATTACTTTGCGCGTGACGCTTCAAGATTGCTTGTTAACCTTAGTTTAACTCACTGCACAAATGAATCTCTAAGCAAGTCATTATTCGAAGACTCAATAATTTAAATCTTGAAGCATCGCTCGACAGGTAAAACCATAGGGCTCCCTTATTCTATTCGCACTGATACATACACAGAAAATTATACATTCAGCATTCTACTACAGCACATTATAATCCTTATCAGTATAAGTTTCTGCGAATGCTCGGAATTAAAATAAAATGTATACTAAACCCATAAGACCTGTAATACTGCCAAGCCTTATTCGGTAGTGCACATTTAAATGAAAAAAGATCGATTAAAATGTTTCTTATCTAAGCTGTGCGTTGAACATTATGAAATTACTCGACATTTTAATCCCGGATTTTCATTTAATGCGTACTTTGTGAATCCCAGCGGAACCCGTCGCCGAGAACCCATCTGGAAAAGATCAAAGTGCATTATCGAGGAAACAAAACGTAGAAAAACGAAAATTCACTCTTACCAGGTCGGGCGGCGGCCATCTTGTCGCTTCCGTGCGCGCTGTGCTGCGATTTTTCTCTCTTCTTTCGCTTCAACGGTTCGTCGGCGCAAGTTATCTTTCTAAAAGTATTTCTTCGCGTTCTAGGCACGTTTAACGTTCGACATGTACCAAGTTATAACTTGTGTTAATGAGTGATGTATTCGTAAAGATTCTTCACCATCGGTGGGGTCTCAAAAAAACTCATTATCGATAAATATATTTATTAAATATATAATTCAGGTACGTCTATCACAGTTAAGTTACATTAAATTTAACAATTTTTAGGAGTCTCTGTCAAATAATTGTTTGATGAGTGTTACTTTATTTTGATATTAGCATGGAAAGCATATGACCAATAATAATTAGTACGTACATTCAATTATGACACGGATATAAGACATCTCGTTACAGTGACAAATGCTGATGTAAGTACAACACTATACATGTGTATGCACTAAGAATGTAATAAGAGTGTAAGATACCAGAAGAGGAAAACGAAATTTATGACAGTTTGATATGAAGTTAAAGTTTCACTTTAAATTATTCACTGGTGATTATTGTTTTAGTAAAGTAAGTTTAAATAGTACCCATTCATTAGCTATATGTTACTAAAATTTGAATACATTATCTCTTTGTCTCTTTTTGACAAATTTATTGCATCGCAGTGAAGTATTAATTGCGCACTTGTGCGATAATCTTTTCAAACCGATCACACAATTCGTACTCCTCAGCCGACACGTACGTCTCTTGCGCGCATGTGTACGTCTCGATGTGGGTCGCGTAAATAAAGGAGCGTGTACCTCTGGAAGGTGCAGAACCAGCCAGGCGGAGCGGCGAGGTGTTCGTGCGCGTCGAGGGCCCGCGCTGCGCCCTCCACCCAGCGGCGCCAGTAACTGGCAGTCAGCGCGCCGCAACGGAAGGCTGATACCAGCGTCTGGAATTTACCGCAGGACTAATTAGTCAATTTATAGGGTATTTAACAGATTATATATAAGATAAGGCATTCATTATTAAAAAAATTGTCATTATCTTTACTACACACGGGACACTAGATATACTATTTGACCTAAGTGAGCGTTTGGTACTCACTTGATTTTACAGTCAGTAAAACTCTACTTTTAGTTGCTCAATTAGTTATGTCACCCCCCTTATTCGACTATTACTCGGTGTCACATTGCTTACGATATATGCTCACTCACCTGCAATTGTATCGTCATCTCCTGTAATGGCGTAAGCGTACGGGGCTGCACTTGGCTCAAGTACTTCAGCTTAGCCTCCACCAACTCAGCCATATCGTCCAAGGCTTCGTCCTTCTCGTTTAACACTTCACCCTTCGTGAACAACAAACCATTCCCGTAATTAATAGCTTCCTTTGGACTATTTTCAACCACTTCATCCTTACTAAATCCTAAGCCAGTCCTTTCGCTAGAAAAACCTTCGATAAACTGGCTATATTTTGTTGTGTAAGCTGGTACTTCCACTTTCTGAGCGGGCTCTAGTTTATGTACTTTTGGTAATACTGAGTTGGAAATTCTAAGTTTTTTTCGGGTCGAACCGTCTACTGTAGATGACAGGTAGATATTTTCCTTCTTTTCTTCAGCTGGTGGGTTGTCTGATATTAATGGCAAATTTGTTTCCTCATTAATATTGACCGCACTGGGGAACAGGGTTAGACAGTTTGATTCTTTTGAATCTTCTGAGAATATTTTAGGAGAATTAGAACAACTCTTATTCAATATATCGATTTTCGCTTTTGTGTTTGGTAATTCTTTCTTCTCAATCTCTTGAAGCAACTCATCTATGTCTAGATCTTTAATACTCTTTGGTGAATCAGTTCCAGATGGATCGTCCTTGATAATCTTTTGCAGTTCTCTTGGCAATTCACCACCTAATTTTTCTAACAGTTTTGCTTTATCCTTTAACTTCTCTAGCAATGTACTTTCATCTTGACTGTCTTCATCTATAGATGTAGGTGTTGTGTTCCCTTGCTAGAAAAAAAAATTTACTATACTCTTTGCCAGAACTCTTTTGTTCAATGATATAAACCACAAGTTAATTCAGATTGAAAACTTCGTCATCAAAGTGCTTGTAACAACTTCACTGTCACTAAAAGTCTACACAGTGCTGACAAGATTTAGGACACATTTTGCTGTGTACATAATATATCGAAAATGTTTGACTGCACTGGAAATTTAACATTTAAATAGCTTTAGTAGCAGTAAAGATCCACTCTGTAGCACTCATAAGTAAATGTTTTTCATCATAGAGGGTTCAACTGTAATTATAAAGATGTATGATTTGAATAAAATACTAACTATTTTAAAATGCGACATATGTAACGTTGGACAGTTATTAAAATTAATAAAAAAATATTTCGCGTTTTAAACCGTTAAGTGTTTTATTTTAATTTATAATTCTATAAATCTGATGTAATTTATTTATTAAAAATGAGCCTAGAAATGTATAGATGTATGGCATACCTCATCTTTCACAACACTTGATTTAATATCAGGCGATTTTGGTTTTTGAAGAACTAAGTCTGACGGTAGCTCCGGTCCTATTGGAGCTGAATAACTGTGATTTTCCGGCAAGGAGGGACCATACTCCAAAGGTTTTGTCTTTTGTTTCTTCGGTTGAGGTTTAGAAGGTGCAGATTTGGGAGTAACGGGCTTCGGAGGTGGTTGCTTCACAGGACTCGCCTGTTCATCATTTGACTCAGAATCAGAGTTGTGATATGATGTGATCAATTCAATTTTATATCTGAAAATGAAAAGTTAACAATTATAAATGCATTCTGGAAGTCACAAAATGTGAACAAGATAGAGTAATTAGCTCACTTGTCATTAATACACAGTTATACCTTAATTGTGGTGTTTATAACCATCGCAATAAATAAAATGATATAAGATAGTAAATAAAAAATTAATAAATAAAAATCGTTAAATAATCGGTTTCATTTTTTGTGCACTGAAAACTACAAAAAAAAATTTTTTTGCATAATCATCGTGTTTTATTAGTGTAGCCCTTTCATTTGATACCCATATTGAGGGGGTTAATGGTTAAGAAAAATATGTAATCCGCCATTTTGTATCGGCGGCCATCTTAGTTATAATATTTTTGATTTTATTATATTGTCTTGTCCTCGGACGAAGTTACAGAAGATGACATCAAGAACTACAGATGGAAAAAATTATAAGATTCTGTAAGCAAACCGGAAGGTTTGAAGGGGACACGGGGAGAGTTGGATGACCCAAAACCTCTGTAAGGAGGAAATCGGTGATATGGCCCGCTGATAACGTGGACTGATCACCCGGCCTACCACAGGTGTCCCCGATAGAAAATAATAATAATAATGTCATCTAAATTAAATGTCCCAATTTCAGATCAAGGAAGGTGCTCAAATTTCAATTTCTAATTTTGACCCAAATAAATAAATTGCGTATGGGTCGAGTTAAATAAAACCGTTAAAAATACTCACTCATCATCACTTTCACTCGATGGTCTTTTCTTATTGTTCTTTTTGTTTTTGACTGTAGTCTTATCATTATTTTTACTCAGTTTTGCCGCTGCCTTAGCCACTTTGTTGGAGTTTTGCTTCTCGGCTAGAGCTTGCTGGTAGAGTTGCCATTCCTCTGCAGAGACTTCTGTGTTTCCTGGATTTTAAATTGTTTATAAAAAAAGATAGAGACTATACTCAAACCACGATTATTTAGCTATTATCGCTAGTGTCTTATTTTCATAAGTCTAAAATTCAATACTTGTAATTTGAATTTCATTTGGTTGAAACTTAAGGAAAAGGGAATATGATAAATCAATATAAATGACACACAGCTACCGCTAATTAGCACAACTCCATTCCTCCATTTGTTGTTTATATAGTAACTTTCATGATACATTCCAACAAATTAGGTTTTAACAAGCAAGAATTTTGTATTGTTTCTTTAGGTATGTAGTGACAGCCAAACTGTTGTTTCATATGGAGGCTAATAAACTATTGAGAACAATTAAACAGTATAATTTTAGACATTAAGTTTAGCAAGTGGTGTCAAGCAAGGGACACTGACTAGGCTACCTAAAATAAATATTTGTTGCTCTATATGAATTTGTTGGTATATCTCTTAGGTCATTGTCTTGTTTTTCTTGTCAGAAATAAAGCTAACAATGCTTCTATAGCCCTAAAAACATGTATTCATTACTATAAAAAAATAAGACTGCACTGACCTGCTGTTGATAAATGCTGCTGTGCCAGCTTAAGAGCTAATAAGTATTCTGGAGGAGCTTCCCAAGTTACTGCATTTGTTTGTTGATTCCAATAATAGGTGAAACCGCTGTTCTCATCATAACACGCAGACCAAGCTGTGGGAAAAATTCAAATATCTCCATCATATTATTTTCATTATGAAGTATATCATATATAAATAAAGCCAAGTAAAACACTTTGAAATATTTTCAAAATACTTCCAAGTTATGGTGGGTTGCAGCAAGGTTTTACTTGACATTACACTTATTTGTTTTAAAGTAAAATATATCAAATATTTCAATAATAAAACAAATGCAAAATATAAAAAAGGATAATTTAATTTCTTCTAGCACTACTAGTGGAAAGTCATGACAATGTTGAAAGAGGCATGACCAGTAGAAACCCTTGTTCCACAAACTAGCAGTTCCACCTATAGTTAAATATATGTGTCCAGTAATACATTAAGCAAGGGTACCATAAAAACTATCTCGTCTAATTAACTTCCTTGTTAAGATAATAACCAATGAGTGAAACGGACAAACCAGCAAGTTTGCCCTACACATAGTGTTAAATTACTTAATATAAGATTTATGATGCAACTATTATATTTTTATTCAACGCCATCTCATCCGTGTCCAAGATCCTTTTACCTAAAAGAACACGGACTTTTTAGGTAAAAGCCGCGAGCAGTGATGGTTTTATATACTTACGGCAGTGTGATATCGGCGGCGGATGAATAGCGGCAGATGCGTGATTTCCAGTATTATTCGTGGGGAAAGATAAAGATGCATTTTTCTGAGGAAACTTAGTGGTAGAGCTATCTTCGAGTTCTTCGTCAGAGTCACCATAGTTTACAAGCAAACCTAAAGGATTCATTTTATTTATAAAACTGTGTGCACGCAAGTCGTCACGTTGAACTAAACTAATGCTAAACCAGTTACTATGTTAAGATTTGGCTATTACTAATACTAGATTAAGAAAAAAATATATCAAAAATCTGAATCCCAATATTGTGCTTGTGCAGCTTCACTCACAGGCCATTGAAAATTTACCGAACCGTCAATGTGACATAACCATTTTGACCATTTGTCAAACGTCAATTAATGCGTTATTATAGATAATAAATCGAAGATTTACGTAGTTTTTGTAATTATTTTTGATAAATAGAATATTATGTTAGTTTTTATAAAATAATATAAACTTTATAATTTTTAGTAAATATTTTACATTCGTTGTTTAAAAGACTAATGATATTATACTTAGTATTGTTCTGAAATAATTAATCAATGTAAATGGTTTTTGTAGATCAGTAAAAAAACATTAAAACATTTGATAGTTTTGATAAATTTAATTTAAACTTAACTTTTACATAGGCACTGGTATTACAACTAAAATATTATTAGGTACAGTTTCAACTTAAGCTAATTTAAACATAGTTTTGTACAAAAGTGTAATTTTAAATATATTAGGAGTCTGTATTTTGTCACTTTTCTTGGCAATCGAGATATTAGTTGTAGTTAGGAATACAGGTACAATAGGGGCACAGAAAGTATTTTCAAGGAGGTATATAACTCTATAAATAAATTATAAAAACAAAAAAAAAAAAAAATCCACAGTATCGTTGTTCTTGAGCAGCTTGGTTGAAAATAATGTAAAATATGTAATAATAAAACAGGAAAATATTTATTATTGCTACACTTACATGACTGGAATGGATAAACCTAGTAAATTACTATGGACATCTAATAGCTATTACCGTTTTATTATACATGGTTCGCAAGTACCGGGGTCCAGGTACGCCGGGTGACATTGTGGGCAATCTGGGTTCTCTCCATAGCTGGAACGTCCCGGTCGCGAAACCTTAACTTGAAACGAGGTCTGAGCGTCTTCATCGCCGTATCCTGGATGCGGACCATCCAGTGGGAAGACATAATCTGGGATAAAGTACGAACTAATGTTGTACTCTGTGTTTATGTTGCTCGGAGTAGGTTCAACGGCCTCTGTGGTTGTTCGGATTGCGCTAAAGGGACGTTTCCCTTGAGACTTTTGTTTGGATACAGCCGTGATATTTGTAAAATTGCTCACTCTCGGCGGCTCTAAGTCCAAAGCGGGTACCGCCCACTTCCATTCATAATATATCGGTGGACCCATCGTCGTTGTCAAACTTGGCGCAGGGAATTCAGACTTCGGAGGCAGCAAATGCTTGTCAGGGACTGGCACGTCTTGGCTTAGCTCGCCTTCGGAATTCGCTTTCGAATTGATAGAGTTAAACCTCGATTCATCTGTAGATCCTTTCTTCTTGTCGCTTCTAACAAAGTTGAAGTTGTTACTGCCGTTTTTATTCTTCTTTGGCGTTCTATCTTCTTCAGAGTTAGCTTGACCTGGTGGTAGTTGTTTATTCAGGTCCAGAATTTGTGATTTTGTCATAGATGTCCCAAAGTCAGTATCCGGGGAGTTGGGATCAAAACGTTTGATGAAATTATAAACGGGGTCTTCCGGTTTCATTCTGATATCTAATTGATTGGCTCCATCGTTCGAACCGGGCAAGAAAGGTAAGCTTAAATCTTGTGATGGAGGCTTAATTCCATTATTAGAGTCTCGTACCGGAGTTTGGACTGTCGATTGGGATACGATATCAGGAATGTTCTGTTTCGTGCCGAAGCCATTATTTGAGAAGTCTGCGTTTAAGTCAGTGTTGGAGTTGTCGTTATTATTATCAATTGCAGTTGGTGTGGTAGAGCGAACACCGATTCCTGTTGACCAGGAAGACGGCGGTCTGTAGTTAGGTTTGTCACTGTCGAGGTCGTCGTTGCCAGTTGAAATTGAATCAGCTATACCTACGATACTATTGCCGGGATGAATGGAGAACTAGAAGGACAAAAGATAATTATTAAATGTACAAAGCAGGAATTAGACCATTGAGTCTTAATTTTTGTCGTCAAAAAACATTTTTGTTACAACGATGTAGTGACAATTTAAATAACATGTAAAGCAAACATTAGATGGTAACATTGCGACATTGCGGATACAAGCTAGGTAACATATAAAGATTTAGTAAAAAATCATAGAACGTCAAATATTTGTTAATTAAACTAAGTGAAAACACGTTGTATTTTCCTATTACTTAATTACCTTTGATTCAGATTCTCGTAAACCGTCGAAGAAGTTACTATTCGGCGGAACTGATAAAATGTCGGGCCGAGGTGTGCGCTGGCGCATTTCTTCCTCCGACACAAATGGTTTGTCTCTTTGACCTGGAAGGAAAAATTATATAATTACTTTTTAAGTACTTAGTTAGAAATGATAAGTTACATCACAGTTAAAAAAGGTTAGCATTATAATTTACCACTTTGTCTTACACAAATCTCAGTGTAAAAATAGGTTATATTTTTATTATTGATTCGGACACTTACAGAGGAACTTAAAGTATTCGTCTCTATATTTTTGGGGCAAAGATTTTTTTGTATTGACAGTAACTGCTTATCATGAGGTCATTAACATATGCAGCCACGAACATTGACACTGTACATTGCCGCGTTCGTGGAACAACGTCAATTCGTGTCTAATAAAACAAGCAATTAGCGCCGCTATGTAATACATACGGAAATTATAGTTACGCCAAGGGTATTGCACTCCATTACGTTTGATTTGAGTAAAACAATGCCCGATCAAACAATGAAATTGCTTAGATCATTATTGACTTGCTAGACAATCTAAGTTTATCGAGAATACGTACAGAACTAAAAATACTCGACTAAAACTTCAAAATTTCTAGTTGTAACGTTTATTTATAGATATATTTCCAGCAAAATATAAAAAAGTTGTATAAATTCATCTTTAAACTTGACTCTTCTTTTACTATACCCGGGCCAGTCTTAAAACCAGCGCTGCTGAGTGTGATGAGCGTTCAGCAGCACAGCCGAGACTAGTGCCAATTGCCTTTCGTATCTATTTTGTCATTTATCCATTATTGAGATAAGCAGTTTAGTAGTTATTAGTCTATTGTACATGTGTTAAAAGGACACTAAACTTTAATTTTAATTTGAATTGGTATAATTAGTCGTTGTTACTGTAAGATTTTTGCCTTATATGAGTATTGTGTAAAGTTCTGTTGTCCACAATTTCAAGCATAGGACGGACGTACACATTATATCAGTTTAATTGAGCAATTTTATTTTGCGGGTAGGTGATCGGTCTCATGTCCCCTACTAAACCCACAATATTCCGGGACTCGAACCCACCGTTGGCTCACCCTCGCTAGACTATATAATTACTACTATATACTTCGTTAAGTAATAAGTAAGTTGGCGTCTCAAAGAAGCGTTAAAATAATAACGATATTACATAAGTTAGTGAATTGCCCGCACTCAGTGTTATCCTTCGGCTGAGGCCACACGGAAACCTTGCTTCTTGATACATCTTACATCAATTGTTTAATTTGCCTCTCTTGTTAACAATCAAAAATGCATTAGGCTTAGCACGCGCAGTCAATCAAATTGATTAACACCAAACATTTTATGTGAATCATCTGTTAAGAATTTAAGTCGGCTTACTGGGTTTTAATATTTGATTAGAAGCAGTAGCCAAATCGTAAAAGTTAAAGAAAAACGAGGTTACATTCTTAATTTTTTTTTGAAATCACAGAATTATATGAAACACATACTGTGTGTTATCTTTTTAGTTTGTCTTTTTTTCTCTTTTTTAATTAAAAACAATTGAAAATATCGACCAATCGAATAGATCTCGAACCCACGACCAACGGCGTCCCCTGCTGTTGCTTTGGCCACTTGTCTTTTATTTCTAAATTATCTATTTGCATATATTATTTCAGGCGTACGCACCGATGAGTAAATTGGCGTCGTAGTCGCTCTCCGAGTTGGAGCAGTTCACCATGTACCAGTGGTCACAGATAAGCATCCGTTGTTGGAAGAGCGTAGTGTTGGGACACGAGTAGCTGAACTGCCGACCCAGCCCATCGCACATGTGATAGATCTGAAATGAAAGGGTTTTTTTTTTAAGTATTATTTTAGTTGGCATTAAAATATACAAATCGTTATGTCGCTCATGTACCGAACACGTTTGAATAGTGTCAATTATTTATAAAAAAGTACATGTATTGTCGGGACATATGTCGAAGGTTTGTTGTTGTTTGAAATTAGGAACTTGTCACTATGTCATATAGGGCGAGCGATTGATTGTATAATATTCATAAAAATGTTCATTTTAATAGTGCATTATTGCAATGATCCTCAAATTAAATAAATGTAAATGTTCAGATATATATATATATAGTATATAGTTTAGTATTAACAAACCATTTGATTGCAACTTAAAACTTATATAACAAAAATAAACAACGAACCAATGCTTCATAATTTATGTTAAATACGAAAAATTAAGATTTATGAAAAAACAAACTCATCTGTAATAATTATAATTACTTCATAACGTGATTATTAATACTGTACCGTAATTATAACGTATAAGTGATCTCTTGATGTAATTACACTAATTACTAGGTGTTTTCCGGCATTTTTAAGGAAGTAATAAACCGGAATCGTTAGAAACATGAAGTGTGCATTTCAAACATAACTTACAAATTTAGTCTGTTATACATACTGAAGTATATTACGTTACCTGGAAAATTATCTCTAACATAGATATTAAAATAGGAATTTTAGTATAATTGTACCGAAGAATTGTGTATTAATAGCAATCTCAAGGATGTTTAAGTATACGATTCTTAACTTCTTTTGAAATCTTTTAAATATTGTGTTAAATTAAAATAATGCATATAAAACGTAAGTATCATTTAATGCAAGATTTTTGGTATTTAGTACAAAAACATAAAATCCTGTTTTTAAATGACTCTGAAAATGTTGAAAAAATATATTATACGGAGATGTTTTCGATATTATTCAAGAATGCGAATGTTATCGTGACCTTCCTGGAATAAGTGTAACAATCACATTTAAGGTTTATTAAAAAAGGTTCAATAACAAGCGACATTTTAAAAGTGGTCCAGTGATATTGAACTAAGAAAATAATTATACGCGTGCGTTGTTTATATGTATAAATATACGAATATATTAATAATTAATTATCAAAAAATTAAGTTTATTTCAATTTACCTTATATTGGATTATTAACAAGAAGATGCGATTTTTAAATTTGTATTTAGAATAACAATTCGCTAAATTAAAGTATTTGTTGATTGTTGTTAAAAACTAATACGTTACTAGAGCTGATGAACTTTAAGAGGGTTTTTTTAAGTTAAATCGTTATCAGTTGAAACAGAGCACGAAAAGATTTGTTATTTCTATCCGCAAGGTCTTCGTTACTTCCTCATTCCAGACTAAATGAAGACGCCATCAAATTTGTGTTCAAAAAACTACAAAGATATGAATACATAATTTTTGCATTGTTATGCTGCGAAGTAAATTATAGTACAAAAAACTTGGTATTTTGAAAATCTTAAAAGTATAATAACATTTCTGAATTACGAATTGTATTAATCTAAGACTTTATTGAATAGATTTTAATAGTTCCTTCTGGTGAGAAGCTCTGGAGAAAAAGAGTTAGTTAAATATACGTAAATACTAGTTTCTAAATTACTATAAAATTTGCAAAGTCAAATAGTAGTTCTCTCCAAAGACCTCACAGAAATTTTTATTACCTTGACCTTTCAACTGTGCAATCGCAACAGTGAAATTATCGATATCGACATCTTAATGCAGCATCTGATCATGGCTAATGGTGAGTTGAGCTTAATACTGGTTAGCGTGAAAGGAGAATCATTTATCCACAAATGTAGTCTTGACAGTGATGTCCACGCGTTACTTTTGTATATTTATATACTATTATACTTTAAAAAGTTTGGCAAACCATTACTGCGTTTCTGTAAAAACGTACCCACGTAACCTAAATCTCGAATGCTTTATAAAAAGTTGCATTGATAGTAATTCAGCATGCAAGTCACAAAACGAAACCGACCCAGTTTCCTAGTTCCTACACTTCGTGACAAAAGCCAAATATTCTTATCGTGTGTTGTACATAACTTTATGTAATCGAACGTAAGGAAAATTTGTACCTTTCTCGATGTATTTGTAGTGTAAGTACAACACGCCGTTTTTTTTAGTTCAACTAATATTTTAAGTAAGGCAGTGGTATTTTAAGTTAAATTATTTAGAGTAAATTATACAAAAAGGTTGAACTGTAAAATTTTTTTAGTTCCATAACTATCCACATATGTTTTGAAATTGAATTATAAGTTTATTAACTTTCCTATGCTTTTTGGACTTTTTTTAGTTTTTTGTGGACCTTACGTTCGTTAGCTTAAGTTTCAAACAATAGTTGTGTTGGCGTCGTGACACCAAAATTGCGCCTCTTCCAAACTGCTACCCTTGACTTTATACTCGTTGTAAAACAATTAATTTTGACGGCCTTCAGCCATGGAATATAGGTTAGATTTCAACGCTTTTTGTTTATTTAAATTAAAGCCTGTATTAATTAAATACAAGTATTCATATTTAGTTAGTTTAGTCGACATACTACAAACTGAACCTTCGCTTGTACCATCTTTATCTATTAACGATGTTAACACATCGAAGTCGTTTGTTGTAAAACGGCTTTATACAAAACTGAATGGCCAATAACAACATTAATTCAACATCAGCTTTCCACCAACGGTTATAAGTATTATTAACTCATAAAATGAGATTGTCGGCAATTTTGTAAGGCTGTCGTAAAGCGCTGAACAATGGTAGTTCACGCGTGTGAACGAGGCTTATTTATAACGAAACTGTGGCCGTGACCCGGGAATTTCTTCAATATTGTACTTAAATTGTTTGTTCTAGTGCAATCTTAATCTAGCTGTTTGACGGGAAAATATAATATGTATTGCTAACAATTGCTAATTCATGAGATATTTAACAGTACAACCTCCGATGAAAAGTTTTACGTTTTCAATTTAACTGAAGTAATGATGCTTAATATAAATTTAGGAACTTTACAGACCGACGTACAAATTTTTATAAGCTTAAATATTCGTAGCAAACAAAAGAGTTCAACGCGATTGAAATTCTTGGTAAAATTGAGATTTTAGATTTAAAATGCACATTCTTCAAAATAGGGGTCAAAGTGACTTCGAGGAAAGTAATAAAATTAGTTCTCTAATCTCTGTATGAGTTAATAAACTCTTAGATCTTTAAAAATATTTTTTTAAATTTGGAACTGTTGTATTTTTTCTTTTGATATTCCTCGTCTCTCTCTTTATTTGTATGTTAAAATATAATTAAATATAGCTGTATTCTCTTAAAATTTAATAGATAACTTTAATTGTAACAACTTGATAAAGTACAACAAAAAAAAAAATAAACAACAACCGGAAAGAAAAAAAAAAAAAAAAAAAAATTTTTTATTCATTACTTAGAACTAAGTGTTAGAGTTTTGATTTTTCTAACAGCCTTTTAATTGCATTATCTAATACATAATACAAGTTCTTAGTAAGGTAGTAAAGGCTATTCACATAACTCAGACATTTTTGAAACAATAACTAATACCTTGAATTTCATAATACAACCTCGTTCTATCTAATTAAGATAATTTTGTTAATGACAAGTCTTGTCAATCATTACAATCGGTATTTTGTCACCCAGGTTATTCTTACCCTGTTTAATTTAAATATAAGAATATTGGCATTTTATTCGCATTAATAAAATTTAAATATTAATTGAATGATGCACATAATTTATGATCATATGAAGACGCGTCTCTATATAATTATGATTAAATTTTTATATATTATTATGAATAGGTTCCGTTGTATCTATTATATATTATCGTCTAATATTTTTTAAATTCCGGTTGCAATATTAAGTAATATTGTAAATATTGAATTTAATTTTTTCGGTGTTTCAACAAATTTATTCTTTTGTCGGTAAGCTTAGAAATGACAGCATTTTCTTTAAATTATGGAATCAATAAGTAGTAAGGAAGTAAATTTATTTTTATGCTCGTATAATAAGTAAATGGATATCAAAGACCATTTTTTTTTCAATATAAGTACAGTATTTATTTAGAGTATTTTTATAAATACTGTGCATACGTTGATTTTTAATAATGATGGAGGAGGCAGACAGAAGCAAGGGGTTCAATCTTATGGTAGGTGAAATAACCTCTAAGCAAGATGCACTGTGGACCTATTTCGGAATTTGGATATTTTTTACGTCAAAATCAGCTTACGCCTGTTCCGAATACCGATCACAAAGTATACGCGAATCGGCCCTTTTGATGCTATGCATATGTCGTTTTGCATGAAATCCGCAAAGCTTATTAAATGCCATAGTTTTGCCCATTCACCTGACTGCCGTCTCACTCCCTCGTAAGTGGAGCGAGGGAGTCACATGATAACCCAGATAACGAAGGCATCTGCCTCCGACCGACCTTGACTCAGTGAAATGTTAATAATAATAAATTATTTGGATGCTTTATTGTTTAGTGCTTGTTAGTAGCGCAGCTTTGAAATTATAGATACATGTAACATACAAGTACACGGCAGCGTCGAATGTTAAGTGACAACTTTTAATTTAATTGTAGTCTCTCATGAAGACACTTATCTTGTTTCAATTATATGAAACGTATGAATTGCGACAGGAGGCTTTTAAATATGGCTTTTAAATATTCAGGCAAAGGTCAATTTTAAGGCTGACAAAAAAATATGAACATATCCACAGATTTACGATAACAATACAAAAGTTTAAGCTGAAGTATTTATATGAAGCATTTCGACTAAGGTTTCATTAACAAAGGAAATAAACTAGTATCTTTTAAAATACTGATTTAAAGAAAAAACACCAATTTTTGAAATAAAGAACTTTGGCTAGTTTAAAACGCGATATAAGTATATTGCCGCGGTGTGCAAAGTATCGAACAATTGGGTTTAATATTTAATAATTTAATTATATATTCGCGGTTTTATTTATAGGTATGTAAAAATATGAAATAATAACAATTATTTTTAATATACTGATAAATATAATTGATATCATAGCTTGAGCGAACTGTTCGAATATAATGTAAACACTAGTTTCAATTCCCTCTAAAACACAAAGTTACCTTAGAGGTAAGGTAAAGGTATTTAGAAGAACGACTCAGTTACATAACGCCAATAAATCTTCTTTATTACGTAACAATGCATAATGTTCAGGATAATAACAATGTACCTGTTAGAATATATTACATGTTAATTTCCGGACTATTAATTATTGCAAAGGAACGCAGTTCACCTTCTTGAAAAGTACGAGTATATGTGTGTCATCAACATGGGATAAATAGTATAATAATATGTTGTAAACTAGTAATAGTTAATGATGATGTGTCATAAGGAGTTGAGATATGTTGCAGGTATCTTTACTGATAGACAGGGGGGACAGATTAGGGATCGAATCAACGATCTGTTTATCATTAGCCATTGCTATAATACCTAATACCGATCCCGTCGACTACTATTTACGGCTGACAAAAGCAAAACATCACGGATTCAGCCTTTAAACAAAAGGGTTGGGTTAGTTTAATTTTACAAATACCTATTATCTGTAATACATATTGTAATAATTCTTACGTTAGTTCGTAAAAATTATTGGTTACTTAAGGGTTCCTTTATATAAGTAAAATAAAAGTTCAAAATTTCAAGAGTTGCGATTTTTTAGACGCGAATTTGCGCGTAGTCACCAGACTAAAAAAGCATATTGATTTAAGTAAGTCGAATTATTTGGTAAAGAGTTACTCTATCGGTGATCACTACGCGTAAACACATCAGTCATCATTGTTAACAGGATTTGAAGAGTAAAAACTCACCTGGCAGCCGGTCTCGACATCGGCATAGTACCCTGCAGGTCGGCCTTGACACGTGAACCTCGTTGTAGGGATCTTCACCCGGTCACCGGTCTGACGACAGAACAATTTCCTTATATAACACTAATCTATAATAAAATACTAAATAAATCGTTAGAAAGGGTAGGACGTTATTAAACTAGACACAAATCAAAATCAATAGGCGTTACGAAAATGTCAGACAAGAATCAAACTCTAGACTATGAATGTAACTGGATTGACGTACCGAGTAACTGTTTATGTTCTGAGACAAAATAGAATAGCTGGTCTCACGAACGAGATTTCGACTTATAGTTGCTACTTAGATCAATTTTGTTCCACAGCTAGGCATTATTTAAACGTAAAAGCAGACCAAAATGACGGAACCAAGAAACCTATCTATCTATCGGCCGACGCAACCTGTGTTCTTTTTGTAACCCGGAAGCCCGCCGCTCTATTTTCTCGGCAGATGATTATCCAAGCCTTCCGTTAGCTAACCCAAGGCTTGTGTAATGTAATTATTCTAATGTACGTCTTTCTCGCTGCAGACCTAAGAAATGACTTTAATCTTAGCTCCGTTTCACTTCACAATTGATCGATTTAAGTGTGACTTTTGAAAAGTGTACTGTTATAATTCAACGTTTGGTATTAGGAAGTGTTATTTAAAAATTACAAAAAAAAAGAAATTATTCAAATCAACTCAGTCAAATAAGTAAGAGTTGACACTTAAATATACATTGAGTGTGATTTATGTTGCAGCAAAAAATTTAATAAAGTGACAATAGAAGTCCTACTTAATAAATACAATTTTTTACACTCTGAAAATGTATCTAATTTATTCTAATCTTGCAAAAATGAAGCGGTGATGTAATTTGACTTATGTATAGACACTATTGACCCATTACGATTCCTTAATACCTACCTTTTAAGTTTGGCTCTATTCAATGATAGCAATACTAAAACATTTTTGAATTGTCTACACTTTGAGTGGGCATAATCCTCTAAGTACCACTACATCTAAGATTTACCAAGAGTCGTCGCGGCGCTTATTGTGCAAGACGGGTTTACGTTAAACGCCTTTTGTCCTGTTACCTTAATCTCCAGGTAAGTGTTTCTTAATGCATGCACGATTGGTTAAGTAATGGTCTGCTTTTAGCACTCCGATAATCAAAAATCTATCCAGACTTGGAAAAACTACTAAGAGGATATGTGCCCTACAATTTGTGCACAAGAGCTGTATGATTATGTTCGTCATTTCAACTTGTTTGGCCTATTTTAGATAAAAAATGTATATTTGAAATTACATAATATCGTTGTCTAGCAATCTATTTTTAGTGCCAAAACGTAGACCATCAAGGACACGCCTTCTTAATGTCAGGTTATCATTAAAATAAATCTTGAGTTGCCATAAAATAAAATCACATGATCGAATCTTAAATGGATGCTTGTAGGTTTCACGACGCCTACTTACTATAATGATTCACTTTTAATTTTACGAGATGTGTAATATAAAAGTTTATCCTTCAAAAAAATACATTGGTATGTACAAAACATTGGATGTCATAGACTCTTTAAGCTTGAACATTGTCGCCCTTTTTTAAAGAGAAAAATTGTATCTACACCTACCCATACCTTCATATATCCATAAGACATACAAAACAAATACCTTTAAATTAAACGTATACAAACAAAGCCAGAACGCCCTTTGCTACTCTCTGTTTATAATAAACAATTGTTTAGCACCGTTACACAAAAATGGACCGCTTACATCATAACAATACGATATAATAGTAACACACTTTTCGAGTCATGTTCCGATGACAGACGGACACCAAAACTGGTCACACAACATTTAACGTCCCAACCCGACAAAGGTCAGAGGAAATTCGGTACTTGGACCAGCTAGAGGTGGGATATACTGAGCTAGTAAAAAACCATTCAAGCGTCTGGGAGGTTAAAACGGGAACTGGCTAAATGGTAAACGTAGGCGGAAATAAATAGAGTACGTTTTGTTTTTCTAAGAAGCCGACTGACCTGATTGAGAAAACACTGGAAAAAATTCTCAGCATCGCTTTTATTCTAACGGCGTCCTTAAACTCACCTGGTCTTGGCTGAGCGTCGATTACTCACAATATTTACAATTTACGTAATAAATGCAGTCGATACGTCTACGACTTGCTTATTACACTATTTTCTTTAACAACGTAAAAGTGATGTGAATAAGATAAATATTGAAAGTTAAATAATACCGAGTGAACTCTGAACTATTAACAAACATATTAAATATAATAGCTGAGAATAATTTAATTGTTTAACTAAGATTAACTATTTAAATTGGAACTCTACTAAATAATCATTTATATAACGTTCGTGCAATAACATGAAGACAATAGTTATTTAATATTCCTTAAAAAAGCATTGGTATAATTTACACTTTGAATTAACATAGAGGATACAACAAAGTAATTAATATAAAGAAATCCAAGAAAACCGGAATAAAACGAAAAAAAATGCTAAAAATCTACGTTTCGTTGATGCAACGAAGAACGACAAAATCTAATTAATTTTATTATTATACCTTAATGCCAGCATTTTATTATACATTTAAAGCTGTGTATATTTCCGATCAGACGACTATTTGCGAATATTCATTTACGCTTTCCAATTATTGCAATGCGTTTCAATTTAAAAAAGTCTCATGTAAACAAATAATTGTTTTCGAATGGAAAGTTAAGTAGACATTAAGAGAAAGTTTTAAACGATTTGATTTTTTTAACTTAAACTTTTTATATAAGTAGTTCCATAAAATGCTCGTAAAAATTAAATCGCAATAACCATCGTCAATAGTGTGCTTCGCGTCGTGTGCGTCATTTTGCAAAGTTAGCTTACGGTCGTTAAAAGGAGAAAAAATCGTTACTCATCTATAAACAACCTTAAAAGGTCCTACAGATGCCACTATGCCTTCTACGGTCATATAGGCACGTTAAGTGTGCCAAGAAAAAAATCTATATATGATTAACTAAAGTAATTAACGTATTAATTCTACTTCCTTACAGAAAAAAAAGAAACAAACCTATACATATTGCTCTAAGTATACAATTTAATTCGTATGCCTTTGTTATTTTTTTCACACTCCTTTGTTAAATTAAATTAACACTGAATATATAAATCTATTCCCATCTATCTAAAAAATAAACAAATAGCAAATGAGCGTGAAGGAAAGGGCTTACCATCTTCAGGTGACAAGTGGATTGACATTGATTAAAAATAATAATTTTTAAATGACCATAACGCCATTGGGTAGGTTGTCACAACGTAAAAAGGTGGCTTTGTATGTAATTTCAGACATCAAACGGTGATTGAAGGCCATTCATAGGGAGACCAGTCCCAAGGCACAGAAACAATTAGAATGCAAAATGATATTTTAATTGAAAACAAATAAGACACCTACGCCACGCAATCTCGACAGATACTGCTATTAAGATAATTGTCCGTTATTATGTTTTTATGTTAAACTTTGTCCAAACACCAGAGGCACGGCATTTAGTCGATTGTGATGTTATTATTTATGTCGTACGAAGATTCACACAAGTAATTGTATTGTTTGAGAAACAGCATTGCTGCTTGACTATCGCATGGCTAGAGACAAAATCCCTAGTTTTATAACTTTTATTCCTCCATAAAATATCTAATCTATCTCTATCTATATATCATTTGGGGGAAATGTATTCGTGTTTATAATACATTGTCAGTCGAGATTTCAAATTTATCGATAAATAAATTTAAGAAAGTTATAAAACTTAGATTTCTCAGCTATTCTCTACGATTTCTTTAATGACAAGACCGCCTGACATTAATATGAATCGCTCCTGTTAAGAAATTTATAAAAATGTATTAGTTTATAAGACATATTAAAGATAAGCCGGACTGGTTTTGGTGTTCTTCTCAGTTATGTTGCTTTTTGAACACTCTGTAAAATAACGACAAACAAAGACAAATAAAAAAAAATTTGACTTTTGATTGAAAACTTTGATCTGTGTAATTGAAGAAACCGTTATTTTATTATTTAGTGGTTAAAAACCTTACGGACTTATTGATCACTTCAACCAATTCTTTCTAGGAATCTCTTATTCAAATATAAAAAATAAGAAACTATTAGTATTTAGATGTTCAATTATTGTATGCTCTGAAAATAAGAATGTTAAGTGTTCTTCTCAGTTATGTTGCTCTTTTGAACACTCTGTAAAATCACGACAAACAGACAGACAAACAAAAAAAAATTGACGAATGTAAATAATTTTTTAAATTTTAAAGAGCATAAAGTATATTTTATTTTATGAGTATAAGCTACATTACATATATATTTAAAGTTTAATTAAATTTAAAAATACAAGTAAATTGAGCGTTCATGTAAAAAGGAATCTTATATTCCGTATAACTTAGAGCTAACAGAGAGTTTTGTTCAACTGACGAAATTATCATGTGCTGTCTAGAACAAAACACGAGACCTTGCGTCATTTGAATTTCATTGCTACGCGTTACTTAGCCGCATCGGTGACATAATTAAACAGTCATTAGAGCTTTTGACATGCAATGGACACGACAAGACAAAAGCGCCGGACTGTGAAGAACAAATTTAAACTAAATCTTCCTACGGACGTTTTACGAAATCTTAATACGAGACACTTTTCCTGTTATATCTTAGATAATAAGTAGGTATTTATAAAGTAATTTATGTGTCAAGAGCGAGCTCACATTTGTTTGTTTGTCGCGAAAAGGCGAACCTCGTGAGCTTAGATCAAAGTAGATATACATAGGCGTAAGATAGGAATGCACGTAAGATTCCTTGGCTGCTTCTATTTGCTTGTGAACGCACATATAAAAATTATCCTTGAGTAAGTGTATTTAAAAAAAGAACACAGCAAGTTATATGACTATTATTAAAAGACGATTCGTCAACTTATAACGTTACAATTTTATATAGTCAATAGTATAGATATTGATAACATTGATCTATTTTAGCTTTGTGCATTATATATCAATTTGTATAAGCTACGACGAGCAAACCGTCGTAGTACATTTACAATCTAATTGCTTCTCAAGTGGTCCTATTTTTCGTATCTAAATTGCAATCTTGTGGCATTTATCGAACAATCAAAATGTTATCGATTAGGTAAGACTGCTTTCGAGTCACCTCATCGTGAAGATGGTTTAGAATTATTCAGATAGATCTGATGTCGAAATTTAATCGCGAGCTTCGACGATTAAGAACTGTGATGGACGGAAATCATAATCTAGTTTAGTATCGTGGGAAAATCAGTTAGGGTCACTTATAAATATATTCCGTATAATTTCAGAATATAATCTATACAAATCCATGGTTTTTCAGTGGCCATTTCGTGTATTTTTTATATATAACTTTAGAAAAATAGCTCGGCTTGTGCTGAAGACAGGGCTAACCTTGGATGGTATAATTAATAGGTATAAGTTATAAATGTTTAAAGCCCACAAATCGTTGGATTACCAAACCCGATGCTACAAATTAATATAATTCGACAAACGTGGCCATGCAATGCCCAATTTGGTATCACGAATCACGCGTTTGATATTTGGTGTCCGTTTAAATCATTATTATTTACCACCTATTGACCGCGACATCACGTACGTTCTCGAAACAATAAGTTTTCAAATATACAAGCATAAACTCCGGTTTTGTCTATTATCGAGTCCTAAAGGCATGGACCGCTGTTGGTTTTAGACTCGAGGCCCGCATGTGTCGTTGAAAATCCAAAATATTTATTCAGAACTACGGTTTCTATGAGAATTTATAATTATAATAAGGTTAATTACAAAAGTTTGCAAGAAAGTATCGTAGCAAATGTGCTACGACGTAGGCGAAGTAAGAACTTACTTCGTGTAACACAAAACAACAAGGTTTTATTTCTATGCACAAGAAATTGGGCCAAATAAAAACAAAAATGAAACAAAGCAATGACGTTCCTTACATTGCCATGAAATTTCATCAACAAGAGACTCTTCTCCCTTTATGTATTTGGGCAACTTAACATCAATTCGTATTATACGAGGCAAACCTTAACCTTGACCCTACAGAAATCAGTCGAACATCGTCAGATAAATCAATTTGTCTGAACACTTCACAGCTAATTTGAACTTTGATCTGTGTAATTGAAGAAACCGTTATTTTATTATTTAGTGGTTAAAAACCTTACGGACTTATTGATCTTACCAATTCAGGATTTTATTCAAATAAAAAAAAAGAAACTATTAGTATTTAAATTCAATTTTGTATTTCTGAAAATAAGAAGTATAGTTATGAATAAACACATTTCTTTCATTTAATTTATTATTTTATTTTTGTGTGTGGTGGTTTTTGGGCATATATTGCTACCATTATACCAACACGCCAAAACAAAATATATAAAAAATCATGCGGATGTTTCAAAACACTGAGCATAATTATGTTCTTCAACAAAATAACAAGTATCCATTACGTGATGATAACCTTTACCAACCAGTACTCTAAACAAATGTGACACATTTGTATCTACTAGGATTTGGTATCAAAGAATTGCTTATTATATTAACACTAGATCTTACGTAAATAAATCTATAAAATGTCTAATTGCTTTATTTACTTAATGCCAATTAATATGTAAAATTTATTACAGTCCACTAAATGCCATACACAAGTCGTTCTGCAAAACACATTTTATTTAGATAGTTATGTAAGCAAGATTATAATCTAGAAATGCCTGCACTCACAATATATTGATTTTGATTTGTACTGTAAAATATTACGCTAAAACCATTGTTGTTTCTGTGCTATAGGTAAAAAGTTTATGTTTTCTCACCTGAGTAGTCACCGAGTAGACACACATTAGTGTTGCACACAATAATAAAAAGTTTTTGCGATCCATGTCGGCACAATGGTCACTGTCGATATTTTCAAATAGGCATCACTATGTCCTACAAACAGCGATCATTCATTTCTGTAAAAATAATCGAATTCAGCAAGAATGCAAATAAAAATAAACTAGTAATACTCTAGAGGATAGATAAAAGACACAAGTTTTTCTAGTATTATTACGAACTCTATTTCCAGTTTTTGCATGATAAAATTACCATTTTAAAATCTTTACATTACTAACTATTTATATATATATATTTATCTTGTGACACGTTCAAATTGATGACTTAAATGTTAAACATGTAATAAATTAATCGTTTAAGTGTTAAACTATTTTACAATCGATCAATAAAATTGCTAATTGACTTAATTTAGTCGTCAACTACTGTTCTACAGTGATATATTAATGTGATCTACATAAAATCATGTATTTATGCAAAAAAACACGATAAATTATAGTCGAATAATCAGCTCCACTTACGTCACTTTTAGCGAAAATATCGAATCGTGTGCCACACTACTCGTAGTGTCACTTAGGGTCAAAGAGCATTCGGTCGTGATTAATCGTTATTCGATTACGCGAGTCGTGTAGGCATCACCGCGTTCGATTCGAGACTGACTCGATGCCCACGTCTATCAGTACCCCTACTATGTTTACGTCCTTGAGTATAATGTAAATTGTATATTGGTCACGGGTTACCGGCGCGGGCGCATCCGTTCTTTTGAATCCAAATGGGTCGATTTGTGGAAAAAATAGGTGTGTCAGAGGTCGCCATTGTCTTTGCTGTCACGATTGCGAAATAAAACTTACGAGTTCATCTTAGATGTGAATTTTTATTTGTTCCTTATTTGGGGTTAACGATTACGATGTCGTAATGACGTATTTATTGTTTGCGACTATGCGATAATTATATATAAATAAAATTTTATATATTTTATTTAAGTTATGAAACTTAAAAAAAACACTAAGTAATAATCTTCTCATAGGCATAATAAGTCATTATAAACTTTACATAATTAAGTAGAATTTTAATCTTTGCAAATAATTATTGAAATACTAAAAAAAATTAGTTACGTATGCACTATATCCGCTGTGATGGGAAAATATGTTATAACGATATATTATCTATATGACTTGTTTGTTATGTTATTTGACCTATTAAAAAGTATTATGATAATTAAAAATCCTTGACCACATATAAGACACAATTATTTATTATTATCTAGATGTTTACAAACGGAGGCATTGGTCATATCTTTGACTAGCTTGTTCTGGCGACAGCAGTTGTGAAAATTTTAGTTTTCTAGATTTAATTACAAATAGTCAAGTCAACCCTTTTTTTACGTAAATGTGGGTTATATACGTGAACATTTATAAACAATAAAATAATGTGTTTTGAAAACATCCCTACTTTGTTAAGTAGGAAGCAATCATTGCATATCTAAGTATATAACAAAATAAATCAAATTAAATCTTAAAAATAATTAGTAGAATTTTCCCTGACATAAAAGTCTAACAAAAGTATGTAATATTCACACAGATTTATACATACATTTTCATTTTATTTAGCCCCTTATACATAAACCTCCGATTCAATTAGTTATCAGGATGTCTGTGCCCATCTCTGTTTGAACATTTTAATTATGAGAATTTCCTACATTCTATAGGCGAGGATGTTATTTAATGAGCTTATTATTGGAAGCAAAAAACTCTAAGAAACACTATTATAGGTAATACGTACATAAAATGTACATCATCTTAGGAATGTTGAACTTTATAAAAAATACGAGTACTTACAAGCTAACTTCTAAGCTTGCTCAACTGGCAGAATGAAGCAATAATGGTCAGTGTAAAATTTCAAACATAAATGGAGGAAAAAACATGGAAAAAAGGAAACAACATATTGTCAACCGATGTCTTCACGTCATTTCAGTGAGTAGCTTGATAAAGGATAATTTTTAAAAACTTGTTAGAAATGACTAAGACTGTATCCGCCAACTTTAATTGCCTTCTTACGAAAGATAAATAAGGAAAATAAATGATGACTAAAATACACAAATTTCCCATTTTATTTAGGATTTCGATTTGGTGCGTTTACGATTAACAAAAGGTTCTATACGATAAATACATAACTTTGGATTGATGATATCGTTGATGTTACATGTAAAAAGGGTAATATAAAAACAGATACCCCAGAAAAGCGGAAATATAAAGAAATACAAAGTTTGCCTATCGCATGATCCTAAGAAATGAAATGACTCTTTGAAAATACCCGATCTTAGTTTTAACATAATTTATATTTTTTTTTACCAGATGGTGTTCGTAATTATACAAGTGGGTGTATTTTAATAAAAATAGTGGAAAAATACTGAGTTCAATGTTATAAATTTATTCAACCTTAAACAATTCGCTTCTTAAATTGAAACTACATTTTATTACTAGAACGAACAAAAATAACCATAATGACGTTCATTAAATAAATCGACCGAACCTTCTCTAAGTAATCATCAGTAATGTCTCAAAATAAAACATTATTTACCATATATAATACAAATTGGATCAAGAAGTACATTTTTGCAATTAGAAAATATGAAATCAATACATAGAGAAAAGTATTAGAATTCTCCTTTCGGCTGACCTAAGACATGCTCTTTAAACTTAAGTGTAAAATACATAAACAATTCAGACATTAACGCAATAATGTAACTCGTACCGCCCTAGGCAAGGGTCAAACACAAAAACTGAACATTCGGGTAATTAAACGAAGTCGGGTGAAGGTCGGAGCTGGTGATTGACATACCGACAATTGATCCGTGATTAATGGTATTCTGATTAGGCCCGAGGAGGTGAGAAAATGCTGTTTAATTATTTATTAATCAACGCACTTGACACAATTCAGATGCTTCGTTTTGTGTGATGGACGCGCAATTGTTGTTTATTTGTGACAACGCGTGTTACCTTAGACTAAATTAATGGTTTTTATATTAATCAACATTTAATTTTATTTTGTTATCTTCAATTAATTTACCCACATAGGCGTATAAATATCGGTCTTTGCCACGTTGCTCAAGAGCGAATCGCTTAACAGATTTTCGGTTAAAAACCAGTCAATCTTATGTGCACCGGCGGATCCGGGGGCGGCCATGGGTTCATAATCCCATGATATGAGATTAGATGGGCCAAATTATTATAATAATATATCATAATTAAATTAAAGGTTCTTAACTTGACCACGACTATTTGACCCCCTCCAGGCGCCAAGACTGGATCCGTCGTTGCTCATTTGTACAAGAATAATATATAATTTTGATCGTGTATTTTTTCAGCACGATTCCGAGTCCACTATTAATAATTCTGAAAACCTTTAAATAATATGGGATTTAAATAAGCATTATTCATACTTAATATTAATATTACTTTACACAAGTAGTACTAATATATAAAACCATACGTTTAACTAATATATTTCGCGTTTAAAATCGTTACAGTTTTTTATTTAAATGCATGCAAATATCCATACATTCTGTCATCACAATAGACTTCAAATGCAAGTATGTATATTAGTTTTTAGGACTTCCGTATTTGTACTAAACTGGGACTAGAGACAATTTAACTACCTACACCTATGCTATATATATGGAAAGATAATAAAGATTTTTAATTTTAAATTTGGATTAAATATGTCGTCTAAATCAAATAATATTGTTTTAGTGTCAAAGATTATTCCTTTGGTTATTTTTTCTCCGGTCGTGTTGCCTTAATTTCACAACACTTTAACTCTACTATTTTAGATGCTTATCGTTCTTAACAGGAAAGCAATTACACAATGATTTATAAATAGAAATCGATTATTAATTTAATAATCGATTGTACTGAATACCGATGTCAATAGAGATTGAATCGACAGTTCGGTTGTTATTGAGCTAATCTTTAAATATTCAGTGAGATAAAATTTCTGTAGGCTGTTGAATACAACTTGATGGATGCAAGTTTTTGACAAACACTTACGTTAGCAAGGTATAAATATAATACTCATATAGTAAGTGTAGGGATGTGAATATGTTTATTTTTTCTATCTCCGTTTGATTCAAATTGTCTTTTTAACTGAACCAGTTTTAGACGGTTTCTGACTAATTTTATGGAGAGGAACTTGTGTCAAAACTAGAGCCTTCGAAAATTAAATAACTTTTCAAAACAAACTTAAATCATGACTCGCGTTAAATAAAAACCAAACAAACTAAATGCGCAAACTGAATAAGGCGCATGCGATTCTAGAATGCAATATTATTTATACCTTTGTTACTAATTGTACAGGATTAAAAAAAGAACGGATGTATGGAGCCACCGTCGCCCGCTTGACCTGCGCTACTTATCGCCAATCAGGATTTATTGCAGATCCATGAAGAATAATAGGGCGACAAGGATTTTTAGTTATTCATTATAAGAGAATTAAGTATGACACGCGTTTAACTTTTTCTATACTTTTTGTTTGTCTCTTATGTGTAAATGGAATGATGTGTAATGGACAGGCCAAAACGCTCGTAAATTCTATTTAGCAAAAACTATAAGTGTGTATTATTCTTCTTTAACATTTCAAAACAATACAGGCATTTGCTGTCTTAATAGACATGCATTCTCTTGAACTTATTCTAGCCTGTGAAGGAGACTTAGAACAAAGTTCAGGTATCCCGACTTTTCCAAAAATTATAGTTACACGAGGTATATTGTCGTTCATTGTGCAAGTGTTTAATTGTTCTATTATGTGGATCTCGCTGCGGATGTTAGCTAAGCTATTTTTCTTTTGTACATTTTGTTTTCGGATACAGTAATAACTATCACCGATGCGCAATACTCTATACAGCCTTTGGCCTTAAGTTGTCAGTGTAAAAAATAATTTCCTTCTTAAAGAGATTCTTCTCAGAGTTCTAAGTATCTCTACGAGTAATATTTGAGTATTGAACCTGTGTTATACGAACAGAGTATCTTACGATTGGTACTACAAGCCCCTGTTCAGTGAATATCAATTACCAAATTTAGTATTGTAAATAGATAAGGGGTTTGATAAGTATCGTTTACGACACATTGTAGTTTCATTCGCACAATTGTGTTTCTACACATATTATACGCGTTTGGAAGGTTAAAAAGTGTTATAATACCCTGGGAAAGAGCTAGTTTGACGGGTAAATCACTTTTGACACCAAACACAATACTCGGTTTGTTAAATATGATTTGCGTTGACATTGCCCTCATACAAAAGCAAATTCAAACTGAGCAAAAACACTTATGCTGTCATTTAACTCTTTTTACGATGCAATATTTTGCAATAAGGAGCTGAAACAATAAGAAACTTCTTGTTTATTTTTCTCGTTTATCTTGCAAAATTATTCAGTTTTACAGTTTATCTCATAGGTTTTTTAAAACATTAGTATATGTAAACTTTTTTTAACATTTCTTTTTTGTATCAGTGCTAACAAATAATTTAATTCCTTTCACAGTATTAAAATTTTAATTTTAATTACTCAACAATGAACTATAGTTTAGTAAGTCCGTCGGCAAACCTCAAATAAGCCCAACAATTGAGATAATTGATATCTTCCGTAGACGTAATGCCTTTATCACCTTTCTAAGTGTCGTGAGATATTGTATTGTGGCTTTGTTTTGTGATCGTGAATGAGGTGGGCGGGCCTCAAATTCCGACGTTAAATAATTATCGAGCTTTTGACTGAGGATCTATGTCATTATTGCGAAATGAATTGGATTAGGACAATGCCATTGGACCAAATTAGAATAGCTAACTTATTCTAAAATGTGCATCAATTAAATTGTGTTCGTTCAATCTAATGGCGCAATGCGTATTCTTGTAATTCTGTAAACTAAGGCGCTATACTTTTTGGTATAAAATTGATACTGGAGAATTATTTATTCTCAAGCGGTTTAGAAGTTTTGCAGGGATTCGCGCACAAACACGGCGACAGGAAAGGATTTACATAAGATCTGTTGGTGATGCCAACTTCACTTGGGCATTACTTTTATAAAAACATTTACAATGCGACCTATAGCAGAATTGTCGTGTGACTATAGTCATAGTCAACGACGAGCAATAAAATATCCGGGATTCCCCGGGTGCATTTTGCATTCACAAACATCACATTAGTTAACAATTTCTTGTCTTCTGCTTCGCTCGCATACAATTTAAGTAAATCAAAACACAGATGTTTTTTGCTTATATTAGAAGTCACGTAATACTTAAATACTAAGTCGTGAACAAGAGTGTCTCTTTGTCTTCTCTGTCGAAACACTGACTAGACTTTTATGTAACTATTGTTGATTGCCGACATAGGACTTTCAAAATTAAGAATAAAACTGGATCTATCTAGGAATTCGACAATTTATACTTATAGATCCTAAAGCTTTACAGAAAAAGAGCGTATGTGTGTTTCAGAGATGTTTACCTACAATAGTACCTACAGCTCAATTTTCGTCGCTGTTATTTAATCGACACGTCGCTCCGAATAATAAATCATGTAACAATTTTGTAGAAAGAATGGATTATTTGGTTAGACAAAAAGATACTATTTTAATATATTCCCTACCAGTTTTCATTTATTTTTCTTTCTAATCAACTATCACTGGCAAACCTACAGTTATGCATTTAAGAATTTAAAATTACTTTTATATTCGTTTGGAGTTACATAATCCTATAAAGAATAATACTATTTTGTTTCTCGTTCCTTTTCAATATATATGGCTCTTGTTTCAAGTCCAGTCGTCACAACTTATGAGTGCCTAATACAAGTAAAATGTATATCTACAGCTAATTAAACACGCATCGCTGGAGGTACCTAGTTTCATAGTGGGCTTTGCTCATCAAAAGTTGAAGCAACAATTTAGCTAAAGGACGTAGGCGGGGCCGACTTATACTGACATGGACTATATTTATCTAACCTGAATTACTGAATTCACAGTTCAAAGGTCATGGAATCGCAACAGCTATAAGATTAATGAAATATTAGGCAATGTGTGTTGTATGTACTCTGCATTCCTATCAGAATGTATTTAATGATTATTTGATTCCCATCGTCACTTCAGTAACCATGATAACTGTAATTTGTCAACGTGAGGTTATAACATCAGCTGGTTTTTAGATACCAAGCCAAGGCAGAAGTTGGTAGCCAGATTGAACAACCTAGGTAATCTTCTATTCATGTATGTTAGAATTATAAATAGTATTATTCGTTGCCATGATTATGTTTCTGAGCTGACACTGTTTCAAAACAGTTACATTGCGCGGTCAGCCTCAAAGAACCGTTTGAACCTCAATTGATGAAGATTTTGACAAGTTGACAGCAAGGCGCCTGTCATTCCTACGATCTCTTATCGCTTTTTGACGTGCACTTATTAAACTAGAAGCGACAATAAGATCATTATAATGTTGCCTATGTGATTATTTACTCGGTCTGCCAACATAACGACAATAGTATAAATAGGGTCAAGGGAAATCTAGTTTGATGCAAGTGGTGTCCCTTAAATTCACGCTTCTGTTTCGTTATTAAAATTGAATAATTAGGATGATGTTGAATTATATATCCAGACCAGTCAACCTCTCAATGCTATGTAATATTATGTAAGAAGAAAAATAAATAATAAATGCTTTTCTTTTCAATAGAAATAATGTTGTGTTTCTAAAAGTTATCGCGAATGACTGTTACAAGGTAAAAAATACATACATGTGACGTTTCGAAAAATTATCACGTTATCTTGGGATCAGAACACTCGGGACTCCTCGACTGGAACTAAGGTTGCATATAACTAATAACACTTGATGTGCTAACACCTATTGGACGATCCAGTAGAAGCAAGATCCATTAAATAACACATTGTTACCGTTCCGTCAGTGACCCTTGCCTCCGAATGGATCACGATTTACGAAAAGCGACCTTCGCATAGTTGCATGATGTATGTATCATGAGAGGAATTCATTTGTTACTTGTCAAACTGCCGACTTTTTTCACCTTCTTTTAAAGAAGTTAAAATATGAACATAACTGAAAGCTTGATAACAATTGCAGTATATTTACGATTACATCGCGATATCGATGCAAAAACTTCAGGCTTTGAAACTAAGCAGTATAATGTATTTCCCGTTGCCAAAAAAAAATTAACCATTTCTCAAACGAATGAATTGTGTAGAAGTATTGTTTTACCCAGTAACAGTTACGTCAGTAATTATATTTTGTCAGATAACCTTTTCAAGTTATTTTTCATCAGATCGCCGACGGCGTAGCTTCGCCGACAGAACCTCATAATGATCACTTCAAATGAGGCGTGATAGATGATATAGAGCATAATGGATGCTGGATTTCGTTAATGAAACATCGGCAGCGTCGATTTTATCACTCAAATTTCACAAATGGAATAAATTGTTGTATCTTGGTTAGTTGCCGTGGTAACGGCTAATAATCAACGGGCCGTGGGTTCGATCCCCAACGGATCCAACATTTTTCTAATCAATTTATAATTTTTCTGAAGGATAAAAATTCGTCTGGAAGTCTGGCTATTAAATAGGTGGTAGGAGTATGAAAAAACCGTTAAGTTTAATCACGTTTCGGTTTCAGTCTATGGATTTCCGAATATCCAAAGCAAAAATAGGCCGACGGCGCATCTTCTTCACATGTTATAATCTGAGGTATTTTACCTCAATTGATACCTAAGCTTGTCTGTCGCTTGCTCAATTAATATTAATAAAATAATGCAACGACTAACAAAAACCAAGTAAACCAAAATAATAATAATTCAACTTTTCTATTTATAATTTAGAAAAAGTCATTTGAATAACAGACACGACACAATTTCCGGCGTTATCGCCAAGAGAATTGCGCTAGATCCAAGATGTCAGCTATCGAGTGCCTTATCTCAGATCCACCTGATAATAGATAGCGGCTGATAACACTTGCCAGTGTGGATCGTGTCGTATTGCAATGATGTACCCGCACACTTAGCAACATGGTGAGTTTGTTTGTATTTTGATTTTCTTAACCCCACGCCCGATGTTAAGGGTGGATCGAATCTACTGTAATAGTACATATCTAATATATAAGTCTTGGAACCCGCTTTTCATTTACATCAAATAATAATATCTTTTCCAGTAACTATATAAAGTTATTAATTTTCCGAGTTAAATTAGTTTTTCAAAAACGAAATTGTTTATAAATATTAAATAGACACAACACACAACAAGTAAACTTTCGGTGACGAAAACATAGTCGCATAGCAGCCTGAGATTAGTTGTATTATAACCGACCAATAAACATCCATTGACTCATCTTTCTTGTAGACTGATTCATCCAAACACAACACATAGTTCTAAAAGCCGGTTAGCATAAACCGAAAGACGGTTTCTTTACCGGTTTAATTATTGTAAAATAAAATTATAATGTAAAAGAAGTTAAAAAAAAAAAACGATAACAAGACAGTAAATGATACTCAAATGAATACAATTAAAAAATATACAAATTACGAAAAAGGAAGCTTTATATACATATATTTTACTAAAATAGTGAGTTCGTAGGTTGTATGTAATTTAATAATAAGTAGTTTGCTTCAAATACTTCACATATTCTTTATCCGTGAGTTTAGTTTCTCTTCTATATAGCATCTTAATTGCGTGTTCAACATAAATATGTCGCGAATTCCTGAGATAGCTTCATTCTTTATCAATGATAAGAAATACTCAGCTACATTAAGTAAAGTATTATATTGTATTCTTACCGGCTGTCTTTATACAATTAATATGCTATCATCAATAAAAGACCATTACTTATTTACCATACAAAGAAGAAAAGTACGGATAAAACAACGAAAGAAAATTCAAAAATAGCAAATTCTAAAACTTAACACAAAAAGATAATATAAATATTAAGCGTTGCGGAATCTATAGATTATAATTTAAGAAGGATTAAAAGATTAGACCTATATAATAATAGATTTATCAAATGTTATTCAAACGCAATATTTTAAATTATATTATCTCCTGTAATGTTCCAAAATTATGTACCAATAACTTATTTATTGAAAGTATTTCTTATAATTTATTCTAATATTTCGTAACGCCTTCTACAAAGTATTAGCAAAATTGCATTGTTTTGATATTCGGGTTGTGTAAATGAAATGTGTATATTTTAATGTTAGTAAACTAACTACTAATTAATTTAGACTATTTAATTAAAATTGTAAGATTTTACCATTAAAAGATGTAGCTCGTTATAAATAAGTGTAAACTTGAAGTTCTTAATTTCCAGGACACAAATACGATAATCATCGTAAGCGTGTTCGGCGGCGCCTGGCTGTTCCTCCTGCTGGTCTGCATCGTCCTCTGCACGCAGGTCTCCAGTCTCCGACGCAAGATCCAGGACTTAAACAACTCTGGGAGACTACGTGTGCAGTAAGTTAGAACTGGAATACTTGCAATTATATCCGAGTTTGGATTATTTTGCTAACTTCACTATGAGCATTTTTTATGTTAGATAATTGATTTTAGATTGAAAAAAAATTACGACACATGCAGGACTCGCACAGGGAAACTTATTTATATAGTGCCATCATGTACATTAACATTTGCAAAATATTAAAGTCAATTTCAAAAACATATATTCGATGTTTAATTGAACGTTAAATATTTCAGAAAACTTAAGATGAGCTCGGAGGGGAACCACGCTTTCAATAACCCCACACTGGTGCCGGACGAAGAACTGTCCCGCAGAGGCTACTCCATGTACCCAACCTCGGAAGACGATGTCGAGAGTGGCAGAGGTACTGATCGGTACGATCTATATAATCGTTTTTAAATGCCCTTAACTGATATACTTCGTATACTGTAGTGTTGATAATACGACTATAAGTTTTGTCTGCAGTTAACGTAAGTAGGACAAATTCAAATAAAATATTTTTAACCCGAACCGATGTTTCAAATGCGTTGTAGCGGCCATGATGACATTTCGACACTGAACTGATTAAAATATTTCGCGTTTCAAACAGTTAAGTGTGTTTTAATTCAAAGTTCAACGTTTGTCTTTATTTTTAATAAAACACTTTAACGATTTAAAACGCAATATACATTACTTAAACTTATTTCAAAATTACTTTTATTTGAAAAATAAAAAAGCAAAATAAAATATTAACTAATATATATCACATTTGAAATGTTGTTTTATTCAAATGTGTACTACTCGCGCAAAACTACAGAATTAGAGATAGTATTTAGTCTGTCTTTACTGTCTGTGTTTATATGAAGTTACTTTAAATTACTTAACTAATTACGTAGTCGAAAGTTAGTTGCGTATTAACCAACTTATAACAGTTTAATAAGAGTACGTTGGCTTCTTCCAGGCAGAAGGGTGGGCAGTTCGTAGAGGAGTTGGAGCGGAAGTTAGACGACAGACAACAGAGGCAAAACCAGACGAACGGGCAAGCCCCGCCGTTCCTTCTGCAGAGCATACAGGAAAACAAGAGGAAATTAAGACAAATGTCAAGTCAAGGACGCCAGAGCGACACTAACCCCAACTTCATTTACTAGTACATACAAATTTAGACAACTATTGGCAAAGATTTAAGCGCAGAGGGCGCAACTGGTGCCTATTTCTTTGACAATGTTTGATTTGTTTACAATAAAAAAATATTCAAGTTGTCATTTCCTCGATGTGGCACTCTAAATGAATGAACTACGAGCAAAATGCATAAATTTTCACTTCTTTTTATCATATTAAAACGAGGATGAAAATGTTTTTAGTCTAATAACACAATTATAAATAAAACATTATGTAACGCTTAATTAAGTTAAATATAGTTTATTAGGTAAGTTTAAAATGTTTTAATTCTTCACCACAAACGACTGGATCAAACTTAACAAAATAACATTAGAACCATGCTTAACAACTGAAAAACACTTATAGCTAAAATATAAATATTGCACGAATTAACTTACTTAACGTTAGGCAATTTTATGGCGCCGGGAACTGGTAATGGTTACTCTAGAGTCTAGACGATGGGAAAACAAAGCTTAAACGATAATTTTAAAAAATAACCAGAACCAATAAACTATACAATTCTAATTCGCTTGATTTTCCTGATATAAGGCCTCGGGGCGGATCTGTAGTGAGACAGCCTCTTCCTGCATCTTCCTGGTCGACATCTGTTGTTCACATTGTTGTGGTTGAGAAACCTAACTTTACTTTTTGTCGGCACCGCTTTAGAAGCATACCGGTAGTACTTCTCGTCGTCGTCTTTAGGATCCCGTCGCGGGTATTTCTCGAGGCTATCGTTGAATTCAGACTCAGACTTGTGTCCCTTGTTGGCTTCGTGAGCATCTAGAATGTCCTGAATGCTTCTATACGCTTCCTCTTCTTCGGCTTGCGCCGAGTACGATTTGTAGCTTTCGGGCTCCGGCATTTCAGATTTATGCTTTTCGAAGTGTTCTAAGTGCTTTAGATAATTGTATGTCTCCGGATCGCTCGATTCACTGATCGGTTTGAAATTCGATAAGCCAACGAAATGGAGTGGTGATTTCTTCTTCTTCTCACTTTTGAGACTTTTGCTGAACTGTTTTGCATAACGCTCTCCAAACAGAGAGGGATAGAATTGTTCTTCCGAATCTGAATCTTCTTCTTCCGTGACGGAATAGCGTTCTTTCTTTTGTGATTCTTGTGCTTTTAATAATTTCTTCAGATCAATATTGAAGTTTATGGCAGTTGGCAAGGTTGCTCCGTACAGTTGCTTGTCTGAGGTTTTCCCATATATTTGATCGAGTACTTTTATGTCATCCATCCAAAACTGGGAAATAGCTAAAACATAAAAAAATCTTCTTAGAAATGTCTTATTCATGTTTTACTAAAGTTGTATAGTCCAAAATATGAATTTATGGTATATTATAAATTATTGAAAATCAACGCAACCTAAGTATTCGCACACGATAACATATAGATACAACAGCATAATATATAAATTTTCTCGAGCATGCTCTATATATAAGAAATAACTAGCTTAAATTCAAGTTTATTCCGTTAGTCGCTAAAAAGGAAAGTCATTGTGTCACTTCTCAATATACTTTCGATTTCTTACGAGTAGTCGCAATGAATTTCATTTCTTGCACACACAAGTAAAAATATTATTGTTTAACAAGAAACGTTGACAAGTGATAAATATTATCTAGTGACTCGAGGGTAAGACTGTTTCGCTTGGTTTATGTTTTTCTACATGTTCCTATAAGGTTAATGGCGTTTTATAGAACCTTTTTTCAGATAACTAGATATTATAATTATATAAATTCTTACTAGTGGAGTTTGAAACTTCATTATTTAATTTTTACCTACCTTATGCGACAATATACATTACTCTACACAAATGATGTCGGAGATTGATGCAGAAGCAACAATTGACTAAAATAAAAATCAACTTCGAGTTAAAACATCAAAAGCTTAATATTATAATTATTTAAAAATTCTTTAGAAATTCTTATACTTGTACTTACTAAAAATCTTTTAAAGACGACTGAAAATTGCCCCATGTTTTCTTATGGGAATCGAACCCAAAACTATAGCTGATAGATTATTACGGTCAATATGTTGGAATAATATTTCACCTAATTTCATTATGCTCTTAATGTAGCATTAATAAGAAAAAAATTAACAATAACTAATATATTAAAAAAAGTTTTGCTACATCAATTACTTAACGACAACAGGAGGTCATATAAAGACAATATTACCAGAAGGCTTCACACCACTCGCGCCAAAGCCGGTCGAAATCGACACTGCCACCACCAACAGTGTATTTAGCGAAACCATTTTTTACTGAAATAGTTCAATATTTATGTTATTCTATTTTGTGCCGATAAGGAGTTGCACTAAGCAGGAAGTTAAACGGGCCGGTGTAAGCGTTACGTTCAGTGATACATTTGAAATTTAAAATAGCAAGCATAGAAAATAAATAGTACGGTTATTAAGAAAAAAGAAAATGACGCAAGTCTTCGATAGCTACATCGTAACGAACCATAATTTATTTGTTTTGTTCATACCACCATGATCGTGCTATGAACGTATCAGATAGCAAATCTACGATTGGTTAGACTGTTAGTGCTACAACATGGAACGCTGTGGATGGCGGTTCATCTCCTGCCTGTTTTAAATTTACAGTTAACAAAAAGGATTTAACAGGACGGCCGCGGTGGCTTTTGCACGTACATACTTATCTATCCGAATAGCTTTCACATATTTAATGTATAAAACGCGACGATGTTGGTAAACAGATAGTTGATAAACAGTCTGCGAGTGTGGTCTAGATTAAAATACAAGCGATGACTTTTTGCTTGAAACTTTACGAATTTATTTTTATCACAGTATCTTACTCATAGATTTCTTTATGGCTGAAATGGGAATGTTTTAGGGGTAATGCATTCTAAAAAAAAATTTTAATAACATTTGTTTAGTTTCATATTGCGTAGAGGCGCCTCCGACGAAGGCTATACAAGCCTTATCGTAACACTATCCCTTCTTCGACAAATAGTATAGAAAGTGCGAGATAACAATCCGTTCGGATAGTTACCTCACTTTGATAGAAAAGCGGCAATTTTCTTATCGTAGCGGCAATCATTATGCAGATCATTAAGCACCGGAACCAAGGCTGTCGTAAAGATTAGTTGCTTTTCCTGGATGTTAAGACATTAGGGAAAGCTGTGGCAATGAACGTATCACACTATTCCGCATGCTGTATACTTAATAGCTAAAGGGAGGTAGGCGGAGAGTACGAAGGTATTGCGAGATTGGTTTAAAAGAATGTCTAAGACGAAAATCGGATGGAGTTGGCCTTTTTGTAATAACACACTTATGTCGAGCTGTTATCAAAAATATTAAAAATTAAGTATCGTTGTGTAAAAATTGTTATACGTGAAAAAAAAATAAGTAGGTGTAAGATTAAATAAAAAAGTTATTGTTGTCTGTGGCTACTAAAAAACAAGTTAAGATTCATCTAGAAGTTTTTTTTTTAGTAAGCTGAGGCTGTACTTCAACAAATTATTATTTTTAAATTTTTTATTTTAGTCCAACACACGTCTCACACAAATGGACGCCTGGTAAGAATAAATAACACAGCTATTGAAAAGTTTAATTAGAAGAGAATCCTTTGAATTTTAGATTGGAATTTCAATGATTAGCGAGGATTTTTCTAAATGCACTAATTAGTATATAACAGAGTTAATAATTTATAAAAATACCTTATAAGAACAGCACATATCTCACTTTTCTTCGCACAAACGCAACATGAATGAAAGTGTTCGCAGTCCGCTCCATTCTTTATAAGTTCGCTTCCACTGCGCGTGCGTCTCTTTTACGGCGATTTTAACTGCTCAGTCATCGGACTTAAGTCGTAATGATCGTGAATGCCAAATTATTATTGTTGCATAATCTACAAGATTCAAAGCCTAATTTCTCCAAGTGTTCTATTGAATGGGGATTGAAGTATCTTTGAATACTACTTAATAAGCAATCATATTTTACAGAGACAATACATTATTAACATGAGTTATAATTCCATATAAAACATAAAAAAACCTAATAAAGACAAACCTATGAGTCGAAATTAGGTGTAGGTTACATATTGTGTGTACAGAAACATGTATGATCTCCACGGTGAAAAAAACATTGCTAAGAATTTTGAACCAGGCGTTTATTTCTCTAATATTTTTTTGTAGACGTTACCATGACTTAGCATTATCTATCAAGAAAAGGAATTAACTTATTTAAAAACTCTTCAAGATAATTTTTCATATAATTATCATAGCTTCTTTAATTCTCTGAGGTTTACTTAACAACCATAAACAATTTAAATTTAAACCGGTATAGTGCTTATTTAAATGTGTACTACTCACGTAAACAACAGACAGCGTTTAACTGCTTTTCGCGAAATTAGTTAACTTATTTACAATTTATTTTAACTACAGCCCGCCTTTTCGGATACTTCTACCAGTCATAGTAATATGGGGCTGTACTTAATTATATACGAGACCAATACCCCAATAGCTTGGGTATTCGATTATTATCACTGACTAACTATGGGTACAATAAATTGATATACGAAGTAAAGAAAGAAAATGCAATAGGAAGCGCGTTACACGTTACGCGTTTCCATTCGTCGCATTGAGGCGCGACTGGTCCAGCCTGTACGAGGGAAAGTCAAGTTCAAAATCCTCTCAGCGTCCTGTTCTGGCTTCCGACAACTTGATACTATGCATGCTGCACCATTACGACATTGCCTGCTCTTGCCTTTCCGCAAACTTTTATCGCGACACTACACTGGCCTCTCTGAAGGCGGCAAAAGAAAGATTCAATATTAATCCGGAATCCTCTATTAAGAAATACATTTTCTTATCTTCGCAAGAAAAAATAAAACAAGTTAATACTCATCCCTCATAGGAAAAAGTCTTACCTTAATTATCAGCGTGGTATTGTTTTCTTTCATTTTCCTAAGATTTATAAACTCGGTCTAGAACGCAACAAAAACCTTTTATGATTAATGGTACGCATGTATTTATAATTCCTAAAACACTAAATACCTAAATCTAATTTAATGTTATTCCCGGTTGTTTGAAGATACTATATTTATTTTTACCAATTTTGTTGTGTTGAATGCCTCTGACTCATTACTTTATAATTGAAATGAAAAAACATTCTCAGTACATCTCACTCATTAATAAGATTAATAATTAAACATGCATTTAGGGAACTATTCCCAAAAAGTGCTTAAAAATGACATCTTAATTGTTGTTCGCAGCTTCGAGGAAAACATCATCCGCCTCATATCAAATTTTCCGACCGATTTATGTCTATGTAGCAAAATGGTTAAATTTGTTACCTAGCAGGCGGTTAAGCATGAATGGTCCTGAGTTCGAATCCCGGGGAAACAATAGCCTGTTATGTTCAGGTTCAGGTTCATGTCCCCAGGACACAGAAGTCTGTTAACCTACTTGCCTATGTATATAACCGATCAGCGAAACAGCCACAGATATGTGTTCTCCCCACCCCATGTCCCACGAGGGAAAACAAACAAAGTAGGAGTAGAAAAAAAACAAACAAAGTAGGGGTATCTGTCTCCTATCTATAAAATATTCAGGAAAACCGCGCATACTTTATTAATGCGAGAAAATATTGTGTTATAATCTTATCGATCTAACCGAATTATATATATCTTCTTACAATTTTAATTATTATTTATGTCACTCATAAATAAACAAATACGTTGCAATGTTTACAATGTGTGCACTTTTATTAATTTATTTCCTAAAGAAAATTTTCGAGCTAGAAAAGGATAGGCTATATATCTATACAAAGATATAAACAAAATTGGCAAATTGTCATCGCTGATTTTTGCATAAAGACACAAGTGTTCTCTTTCATTTTTTCAAGAAAAACCTAAATTTATTTTCTTTCATATTGTAAATAAAATATATTTAAGTTTTCTATTATTTTTTAAATATCCTTTAAAATGTTTTCAAAAGTTTTTTTTTATATTAATTATTTCACGAGGCTTTTGATACGAAAGCTATGACAACATTACTATTTACTATGTAACATAACCATGTTTATTTAATCCTTCTGATTTCTTCGTTTTGACACTCGTTAAAGTCAGCAAAAAAACTTATTTGTTTTCTAAGATCCCTCAATTTTCTATTAGAACTCATTATCGCACCGTAATCGTGACGTACAACTATTTATTAGTAAAATATCTTTTTCCTTCGCATTTTGAATGATTGTGCAATCATTTTTTGATCAATACTAGTCCATTGATAATGTTGAATAATGCTTACAATAAAATAAAACGCCCATGACGATTCTTATGCGATAAAAATATTCGGGAAAGGAAAAGAAATTATTAAAACACCTTCGCTCTTGAAAAGAACAACACAAGACTTTTCACTCTTCGAAAAGCACATCATCTATCAGATTGTCGTGAAACTAGATTTGAGAATTCAGAATTGTTCTGACTATTTGATCAATGGTACCATGGTTGTGATATCGGAGATGATTGATAATTTATATAAGAAAGTATCCGAAACTCACCACTGTTCCTATCTGTTTGTGCGTTTGAACGCGCTAATCTCAGGAACTACTGGTCGAATTTAAAAATTATTTTTGTTTTGGCTAAAGCATTTATCGCGCTGCGACTAATAGGAGCGAAGCGAAGCGAAATGTCTACATATAAAAGAATGATTTTTTCTTCAAATGATCTGAAAAAATATCGACAACATTATACATATATCGATCTTTTAAGGCTTATTTGCAAAATCGACGGAACACGTGCGACATCGTGGGTTAGGTTAGGTTTGCAAAAACATATTTTGACGCCCAAAACAAGTATTCTATGCGGACGAAGTCGCTGGCACTGATCGTTCTCGATAAAACTGCAAAAAAATAGGATCCTTGGGTTTATTTAACACTGCGAAAAGTATAAATTATAGGTCAAAAAAATGTTATACAATATTATAGAATATATCAATATCTACAAAAAACATTACGAGAGCATATTATTTCTAACTATTGTAGTTACGTCGCTATAACTACTTTTTTACATTTTACAAATTAATAGAAATGCTGTTCAAAATCAGCCCGTGTTGTCCATACCATTTATAAATTTTTATCCAAATAAATAATTTAATATTCAAGACTGTCTCAATACCTGATGATTACTTTCTTAACTATTGAAATTGGACATGCCATTCAAAAGATATCAAGAAATTAAAATAAAAATACATGCCGGCGGCGGCCGCCACACCGCGCATCGAGTAACTAATTCGACGATAAAGGAGCAGTGGGCTCCTTACGCAGTGGGCGCGAACTACATTGAATATTTCGACTTTTTTTTAAACATTTTTATGGTTCACTTAAAAAGTTCTTTTCAAAGCTACTTAGTTTTAGTATTAGGAATCACACTTTGCATAATATTTGTCAAAGTTCTTTTCGGAATTATCTCTTTGAACTTGAATATTTTCTTTTGTATTATTATTAGTTTATTCTTAATTTCTCTGATTTAAAATAAACATCCTTCATAGCAATATGCCTAGAAGAAGAAGGTCGCAGCTATCTAATAATAGTTCCCAAGTGTGATTATGAAAAGTTCGTCGTATTGGAGACGTTCGTCCTAAATTGAAGGAAATAGAGCTAGGAATTCGCAAACGCGTGCACGGGACACTAACACTGAACGCTCACAGCGGTTTTTGAACCAGCAAGATAGACCACGGTCGATAGTTAATAGAGGGGACGCGCAATACAATTTTTTTCTAATTTGGTGATTCAGGGTCGTTTTAATTAGCATGCTTATAATTTAAATATTTGTACTTATTTATGTCTACCCGTGCAAAGCCGGGACAGGGCCGCTAGTTTTTAATATAATTATTGCAATACCAGCAAAGCAGGCCGATCGAGATTCTATCAAATAACTTTCATCGATACCGATAATGCCTTGATTATATTTTTAGACATTTCCTAATGCGTGCTCAAAAGTATGTTCTTGATAAACATTTAAAATATGGTGTCGATAAAAATTAAGACGTAGATAATGTGTGGTATTCATTAATCTGATCGATTGCTTATTCATCGATCATGAAATGCAGGCGTGATAAGGTTCGTTTGGCTAGGTTATATTCCTAGTCCCAGCCCCTCGGCTTCATTAGCGCCATGGCAGAGTCCAAAGAAGCACGCAGATACAGCGCAGAGAGCGTCCAGCATACGGTGTCTCTGGACACTCTGCTGGTGGAAGAAGTGGGGCAATTAGGGAAATACCAGTGGCGCATGATCGCGCTCGCCGTGGTCACGGTAATATTTGCGGCCTGGGCGGCCGTGGAGTACATATTCACCACCGGAAGAATTCCCACGAGGTAGCCTTTCAAGAGCTTCTCCGTTGTTATACGCATCTTGAGCTTTTTTCTATTTAAAGATTTTCCCTAATATATTTTACTACTCAAGTGACCAAGACTTCCAAATAATTATGCTCCATAAGTGCAATAATATTGATACTGTAAATTATAATTATTAATACAGTTATCACTTACCACAGCGATTAAGAACTTAAAAAATAATTAACGTTCTTACCGGTTCTTGAGGTCGGGACGAGACTAATTGAGCAGAAACTTTTTTATAGCTCGTGAAATGGCATCTAATAGCATACGCGGAGCCCTAATGAGTTGGACTGTCCTATTATATGATTTTAATTTTTAGATGTCTTATACCGGAATGTGACATACGGGAATCAATCGAATTCCGCCCCCCCTGGCTCCTAAACGCGGTGCCAGAAAGTGGGGGCTCCTTCGACAACTGCCGTAGGTTCCGGCCTGCCAACTTCACCTCATATTCTGACGTGTGCCCCGCGAATCTCTTCAACCGAGGCAATGTGATCGACTGCGAAGAATTTCTTTACGAGAACACTGACACAATCGTCTACGATGTAAGTTCCTTTGTGTTACTTATCAAAACATTTATGATAATGCAGTAACAACGAGCCATGACCATTTCCCATATCGTTTATACATTTTTAAAAACAAACATCATTTTAGGTATTTATTAATCTTTGTCATTTAATTAAGTAAACAATAAATAATAGCCAACGTAATAAAATACTAATAATAAAAGTATAAAAAATAAAATACTAGTAAATAGTAATAGATAAACTATGAAAACAAATAGAGGGTCATGACTCTCTGCATTGTAAGTAAAGTCCGACTGAAGGATTGACTTCCTGCAAAAAATCTCTTTAAAAACTAGACATCGAAATCAGCAAAAGTAAACGAAGTACTTTTTTAATTTACAAGTTTCAAGTAATGAATACCAAAGCTGGGTATGTGATGAATTCTTCTTGAAATCAAGATCTTATCATATCAGAGCCTATCTATAAAATTGCATACTAACGTATAGATCAGGTAACCCCTAATTTTTTAAGATCTTATCACATTTGGACTTTGGTTCGTTGTCGACATTGATCGGATTATAATCAGTGACGTATAAATGACTTAATTATTGAAGGTAATCTATTATTTTTAAAGCGTCTATTTATCTGACCCTAATAAAAACAAAATTGACTTCAAAATAATGATGAATTTTGTCGTACTACCAAAATAACATATTGCGATACTTTTCATATTTCCAGTATGGCCTCGCGTGCGACGAATGGCGTCGTACCTTGATCGGTTCAGTCCGCACGGTGGGGACCCTGACAGCTCTTCCCATCACGGGATACATATCAGACAAGTGGGGGAGGCGAACCGCTCTTTGTATCAACGCGATCAACACCGCCTGGATCGGCACCCTGCGGTACTTTGCGGGCACTTACGTCGGCTTCCTCATCTCAGAGGTAGCCGAAGCTACGTTTGGATCCGGAGCATTCTCTTGTGCTTATATTTTATGTAAGTCTAATCAAAATAATTAATGTAAGTGAATGCTGATAAAAACGTATTAACTTGAAAGAAAACAAACAAACACACGTGAATGAATACACTTACTTTTGAAGCGGATCGAAGAATTTTGTGATAAAAAACAATTTGATAACAGCTACGATGGTATATGTCATATCATTGATATATTACTAAGTATTAATGATAATAACAAGTAATTATTATTACTTGGTAATTTACGAAGAAACCCTTAACTATTCTCATTATATACAAAAATGATTTTATTTATATATCTCAGTTCAGCTCAATGGCAGTTAAATTTTCGATATTTATTTTTGACCCGAAAATGTTGTTTTCAGGCAATAAAATTGATAATTTGGATTTCTGTTTATCTTTTCTAGTGATGGAAGTGATAGGTCCTAAATATAGAGTGGCGGCTGGCGCAACCATGAATACTTGCTTTTCAATCGGTCAGATCACGATGGGGCTCCTCGCTTGGGCTGTCCCAGATTGGCGGAAACTAACTCTCACCCTCTACATCCCACAATTTATCACCATCTTCTACTATTGGACAATGTTTGAATCTATCAGATGGTACATGAGTAAAGGCCGCTATGAAGACGCGGAGGTGACTCTAAAAAGAGTCGCTCAAATAAACGGAAGGCAACTATCCGATAAATCTATAGAATCTCTAAAATTATCAGCCGAAAGGGCGGCACAGCAGGCGCTAATAGATAAGGAACTGAAGAAGAAGGAACCGTGGTTGATCGTTCTTCTCTTCCGTCACAAGCGTGTCTTATTGAGAGTTTGCGTGTCTCCCGTCTGGTGGATCGCGACAACGTTCATCTACTATGGCATGTCTATAAACGCCGTGAATATGTCCGGAAATCGTTATGTAAACTACATAGCGGTGGCTGCAGCAGAGATACCTGGTTACTGGACCGCCGTTCTTTTGATGAGCATCGTGGGTAGAAGACCTGTGCTGTCTGGAGCTTTTTGGGTCTGTGCTGCTTGCCAAATTGCATACATCTTTATTCCTCGTGGTGAGTCCTAATTTAGTTTATTCTAATGAAGCTTAGAAATAAAACAAACCGACCATAAGTCTGTATAATTAGAATAATACATTTCTTTATAATGCCCCCTGTTCGCAGTTATTAAATCATAACTTCATTATTTTTCATTTTAAATCAAATAAATAATGTTATATATTATTTGTCTTATTTTATATATATCTTGTTCTAGACCTGTACAGCGTTTCGCTGGCCGTGTACTTGGTTGGGAAATACAGCATCGCCATGGTGATGACGACAATATACGTGTACACAACAGAGTTATATCCAACCAAATACAGACACACTCTTTTCGCCTTCGCATCTATGATGGGTAGAATCGGGTCCATCGTGGCTCCTCTCACTCCAGCCTTTGTGAGTTACGCTAGTTATTTAGAGGTTTTCATATGCATAACATTCACGTTGCACTGTAAATTATAGCTTAAATAAAGATAGTCTTGGACATACGTCCAAGACTATCTTTATTAATAAAATACAATCTTGACAATACTGTCAAGATTGTATTTTATTTGAGAATTTAAATAAGTTTTTTGTTCATTGCAGGGTGCAGCAGTGTGGGATGAGTTGCCGTTCGTGCTCTTCGCTAGCTTCGCACTTCTCTCGGGAATTCTGGTTCTGGTCACGCCAGAAACACTCGGCAGCAAGCTCCCGGACTCCATGGAAGACGCTTACAACATTGGCCTTAAGGAAGATGACAAAAATCGAAAATAGATCTTACAATCGCAACTGATTTAAACACTTTACATTCTTAACTATGTAGAAACAAACACGTTTTAATCGGTAACTTTATAATTAATGTACTGTAATGTATTCAAAATATTTATAGTCACTAATATAAATGCCTGAAATCTATGTACTTACTTACAATCTACATTACGGCAAAAGCGATTTTAGCTAATATTTTTTAATAATTAATTTTTAATTTTAATAATTTATCAACGTGCATCTTCATGACTCATGCGCCGCCTAAGGTTTATAATAATTATCATAGTACTAAGTAATTTATATTAAGTATTTGATAGAATAAAGTAATAACAAACACAAAACAGTTGTCCTTATTTGATCAAAACTGTTTGTTGTAGTTATTATAATTAGTTTAGATTTTAATGTTGTGTCCTAACAAAATTATGATATTTACTATAAAAAATAGTTCACGCGTAGAAGTCGAAATTTTACATTAAATATTAAAGAGACGGCACTTAATATAATGTAGAAAATACAATAATATGTTTATAACAAACTAGCGGTTAGCGACTTCTTCCGCTTAGAATAGTTATTTTGGGCCAGATTTGTTTTTGAAAACATCTACATCTTTATAAATTTAAGCTGCCCACGACATCGATTGAGCCCCGTCGCTTGCGACTCGTCGTTCGGGTCCCGTCGTTCTTACAGGTTTAACTTGTAACATAGACATATAATGCGGTAGACATTTTTTTAGATAATTCAAATAGAAATCAGTTTTTTTATAGATACTTTTTGGGTGTTTTGAACCGTTTTCGCAACGTACACATCTGAAACCCACAGAGATGAAAAATTTTCCCGTTTTCTTCACATTTCTCTCTGTATCTTCGCTTTTATTAGTCACAACGCAATGTTTTATAGTCTATAGCTTTCCTCGATGTGTTCTATGCAATAAAAAAATAATCTTCAAATAAATTTAAACCGCCGTTCGGTTCGGTTCGCCTTTAATCAACGGAATTTGGCGTTCAAACGCCAAATTCCGTTGATTAAAAAATGGTCGTTCTACTCTTTTAATTTCACATAGCGCTGTGCATTGTAATTTTTTTACCAATAATGTTTTCTTTTACTTACTTAAGCTTATACTTACATACTTTATAAAGACTAAATCTATCGCTTTAATAAATCAATGATAATGCAACGGTAAACAAAACAAAATGTAATGTTTTGTCATTTTGAAATTCCATCCATTTAGATATAGATATTAATTTATTGAGATTAAAAATAATGAAGTACTGTTTCACTGTCATGCCTTTTTTGATTCTGCCTATCGATAAACAATTGATAACATTTTAGACCGCCTGGCAGTAATATGAATTGCTCCCTAAGTTAATAAATTCACAATGTATTAGTTTATAAGACAAGTTTAAAAAAGCCAGACTGAGTTTCTTGGGTGTTCTTTTCAGATATGTTGCTCTTCTGAACACTCTGTAGAATCACGACAAACAAAAAAAATTTTGACGAATCTAAATAATTTTTATAATTTTAAAGAGAATAAAGTATATTTTATTTATTTAAATACAAATTTTATCATGACCGCAGTTCCTTTGCAGGTGGTCCTCTTAGCAAAATACCTGCTAAATTGAGTCCGTACATGTGTATAACATAAATCATAAAGAAAAACATTCAGCCATTTGTTATTCAGCTTGCATGTTTCTTAGGGAATAAGTGATTATTTCTTTCGAAATTTCAATCAGAACGTAAAATGGTAGTACCAATGGAAAGGTTACATCTAATTCTATGTACAACA